TGTAGATATGGCATGTTTGAGTACCTCCCTGAGGCTCGAGTGACGTGGATCAACTCCAACTCCGTGGAGAGCCCGGAGAATTTCCAGCACGTTGGCACTCTCATAGGCCTGCTTGTATACAATAACCTTCCTGGGCTTGGGGTAAGTGGGGTTGCATTAGCATCATACTTCTCTACTCGACGGATTTTGGTATAAGTCGGCGCTATTACTGAACAAACCACTCACTGCACATTTTATGTAATCCATCCTGTGGTGGTCATTGCAGTTCCTTTGCCAGGTACCCTTTCCTCGCGTTCTGTTTAAAAGGCTATTGCAAGGCTCATCAGCTGAGCTTACTGTTGAAGACTTGGAAGAGGTCTTCCCTGAGGAAAGTCACAGTCTTCAGCACCTCCTTGACTACGAGCCGAAGGATCCCCAGCACTCTGACGAGGAAGTGAAGGTGAGAAAGAACGGGAGCTCTAATCTTACGTCCATTTCTTATTGGCAGGACGTCTTCTGTATTTCCTTCAACGTGTCTTACGACTACTACGGAGAAAGCCGGAATCACGACTTGATACCTGACGGCGCAAACGTGCCGGTCACTTATTCGAACCGTGAGCAGTTTGTCAAGGAGTATGTTCAATGGAAGTTGGTCGACAGCATTAAGGCTCACTATGATCCCTTCGAGAAAGGCTTTTATAGGGTCTTAGGCGAGTAAGTAGGGAGAGCATCCTTGACGCGGTATCGGCTCGAAGCTCAAGGGATAGAGTCTCTGATTGTAATTGTACTCTACGCTGTGCCTCGTCAGTTCCCTCACCCTCTGTACGCTAACTCCTCTCGATCTCCACGCTATTCTGTGTGGAGAGCAGAAGCTCGACTTTGATGCGTTGCGGAAGTCAGCCCGATACGAGGGGGCTCCTTTCAAGGAGGATTATCCGTATATACAGGCCTTCTGGAAGATCGTGTCCGACTTCAATGATACTCAGGCAAGTCTCTTCCATTCGGTTCGTTGTCGGTTGCTTACGCATCGTGAGACTGGCTTGTTGCATTGCATGGTTCACCGCGTGTGTTGTATCCGCCTTCCCTCAGAAACGGCAGTTCTTAAAGTTCTTCACTGGGAGTGATCGTGTTCCATTGGGAGGGTTAGGCGCGATAAAGGTAATCCCTCTGTTGGAATTTGTAGCCCACTGTTCTCCCATGCTGCGTAATTGCTGCAGTCGTCCGTGGATTCGATCAGTATCGACTTTTCCTTTTCTCAGATGGTTGTACAAAAGAACGGCGGTGAGCCAACAGATCGCCTCCCTACGGCCTACACATGCTACGACGTCTTACTGTTACCAGAGTATTCCAACGCCGAGAAGTTGAAGGCGATGCTTCTCGCTGCCATCGAGAACAGCGAAGGCTTTGGCTTACAGTGAATCGAGCATCGTTGAATATTACGAACAGTATACATTTTATACACACACTGTATCTTCCTCAATAATGGTAACTATTCGATTGCTTCGTGTTACTAACTCTCATCAACCTTCGTTACTAACTGTGTCTCGAGTTCAAGTCTACCATTAAAGCGGCTCTGACGGTCTAATCCCTAAAGTTTCATTCAGAACTGTTCGTGAATGCCTCAACATGGGTCGCAGCCTTACAGGTCCCTTGCAGGTAAAACCAAGCAGAGGACAGCTATCCACGAGGTGAGAGCATCTCGTTCGCAGTGTGCGTATATGCTATTCGTGTTATTCAGGATGCCCGTTTGGTAGTCCGACGACGAACATTGTCAAGCTGCGGTGATCCCAGTGATACCGTAAGGTCTCGTGCATTGACCAGTCTTGGTCGGCTAGAGAGTAGCGAAATCAGTGACCGATTACGGTAAGAAGGACTATAGTTTTTGCGCGAGTTCTCATCTCAGATCTATCTTCGGTGATACATTAACTGGGCCGATTAACCTTGACAAGCGTCGGCATACTCTGCGGCGTGTATCTTCCTCACTGAGTGCTGATGAGGACAGAACCGACACCGATTTCATGGTAGGTTAGTCTGCTCCATTGTTGAAGGAGGAAAGACAGCAGTATTCCTTCAGCCAGTACTTCCTAGCACATTGCGGCATTCCTCATCGCCCTGGTCGTTCAACATGGAGGAGTGGGAACCTGATGATTCGCCTGAGGCTTCTAGTGGCGCCTTCGACAGGGATGGGTCCGATGAGGATGGAGACTCTGAGGGGAGTAGCGTTGTATATGTTGACGCTGCTGACCTCACGGCCGTGCTCCTCGATCGAAGTAGCATCCGCGAGCAGCATATCAAGAAGGTTATCCTGGATGTATTTGCCGAGCGGGTCGATATCTATGCTGAGGCCAATGCTACTGAAAATGCCCCTCCGGTGAGAGCCTCCGATGCCCTACTGCGGTTCTATGACGACGTTAAGATGATGTAAGTGCTAAGGGAGTTTCTGGGTTGCGTATGTTACTCGAGTGTATGATAGATATGAGCAGCTCCCAGGAGACGACATTGGTTCTTCGACGGTGGAAGATGGCATCACTGAATTCTGCGCGAACTTATGGTAGATGCGCCGATGTTGATATTTGAGCTCTTCACTTGCAACTGCTCAGGCTAGCTTTCGACCCGAACGCCCAGGACGTGAGGCGACGTTGCAGGGGTGTTGTGATCAGTGCCCGGAATATAGTTATTGCGGAAAAGCAGTCTACACGTAGGCAGTCTCTGAGGCTACTGGTGTCGTTGGCTACAGATTACTCATTCAGTTAACCCAGCATGGCAGCTGCTCCCGTTGCGGACGCGGCTTGCTCTTTCCCAATCTCCTACACGTTGGAAGGACATTCCGTAATAGTCTACCTGCCACCACCACATGAGCTCACTGTGAGTGGTGATCACATAGATACTCCGCGACGGGCAGAGATAATCTATGGAAAGGCCTCAAGCAGCCGATGAACAGACTGAGTCTGCAGTTTTACAAGTCGGCGAAGCTCGAGAAAGGCTTCCAGGTTGGTGTTTGCCATCGATCCCAATTGCGCATTCCCGACTAACGCAGGTGAACCATTCGTTACACTCTGACAGACTTGGGGTGATGTGGACCACTGTTCTGGTGCTCTTCGTACTTGTTGTGACATGGTTTCGGTATAGACTGCTTATGTCGACAGCTGGCTCCTTCTATTATTGCAGTGATGATACTGAGAAAACTATGACTATACTAAAGTAACTACTATCGTTATTCTACTTCTGTTCATTCCCTGTATCGCAACAGGTATGCCGCGACAGAGCCGCTTATGATGTTCGCTTTGGTGGGAATACTGGAGATCACTGTATGCTTGTCACTGCGAGGGCGAAGGTCAATACTACTGGACTTCTTCGATGACTTGCAGGTGCGGGCCCTGTGCAGTGGTCCCTCAGTTCTATCTTCGTTGCCGTAGGCATGCTATTCTCTACTGGCGGCCTGTCTTACTTTGCTGTGGTTGCATCTGGGTCCGAAGGTTATGGATTGGTGAGTGTATTCCTCTTAAATCCTCAGGATGTCTATCTCACCTCTAGGTATTGCTGGCCGCCTGACCGTTCATACACACTCGCTCTAACGTATATCCTTTCCGCTGCGGCATTCTCTCTACGCTGGACGCAATACGTTTTTGTATCACTAGCAATAACCGCCGTCGCTAGTAAGCTCCAGTGGCCTTCCACGAGAGTTCATATTCGTTATGTTCTCAGTTATCCTTCATCTCCTTCCATCGAGCAGCCACGTCGGTCAAGTTCCTACACTCAGTGTTTTACCAACCATCACTTTCTACGTTGTTGTTATCACTTGTGTAGTTCTCCTTACTATTTACAAGTCGGTTGATCTCCATCAGATGCTGTGCTCGGAAAGCCACTGTTCGTCAGGTATGTGTACGAGGGAGTACTCCGTGAGGATTTTGTCCTTCATCTCTCACTAGCTAAGGAGGCTAGCAGATGCAATGCTCTGCTCACCAACGTTCTTCCGGAGCGTATTCTGGACACGCTAAAGAAAAGGCAAGACGCAGTTGACTCTATGGAAGGTGTTCGTCGCGACTCAGGGTTGGTGCTGAGCCGAGAGATTGGTAAGATGGGCTTCATGCGTATATTATGGTAGCATCTTCTTGAGATCAACTGTTGAGTCCACATATCTATCCCGTGGGATTTGGTATGAAAATAATGATCGAGGTGTGAGCTCCTCGAGTTTTCTAAAACTGTGTTAGTCTCAGCAAATGATTGTCAGAGGTTGCTCTCAGGTATCACAGAAGCTATCACGGATGTTACTATTATGTTTTCGGATATTCCTGGTTTCACAACTCTGTCTATGAAGATCTCTCCCAGAGAGATCGTTCTCACACTGAATGAGCTCTTCAGCCTCTTCGACGAGCTAGCGCATGAGGAAGGTCTTAGCAAGATCAAGACTGACGGGAATCACTACATGGCAGCAGCTGGTCTGCCGCAGTCCAATATGATACACGCGCCTGCTGTATGCCGAATGGCACTACGTATGATGGACGAGGTGGCCCGGCGCAACGCTCTGATAACGCTGAAGTCCCAAGGCTCGAGTTATGCGGCAGAGTACTGGGATACCATTCACGAGGTTGACGCTGGTGCGATTCGATACATCTACGATAGCAGTCCCACGTTGAAGTCAGACTCTGAGGATGGTCCAGCATCGTCTAGCCGGACGTCGGATCCGCCGACATCTGGCAGTGATGACAATGAGGATGATACAGGATCTCCTGTCTTTGTGGGAATTCCAGTTCCTCTCCGTGTTGGTATTGATAGCGGTGATTGCATTGGTGGAGTCATTGGTAGGAAGAAGTTTATCTATGACGTGTGGGGGGACTGTGTTAACACAGCTTCCCGTATGGTACAGTATGGCGAAATCGGTTGTACACAAATCACAGATGCGACCAAGAAGTGGCTCGACGTGTTAGCACCTGGATGTTTCGAGACGGAGAGTCGCGGCGTGCATGAGGTGAAGGGCAAAGGTCCTATGCTCACCCATTTCCTTCTGGACGAGATAAGGGACTATAAAACCGTCATTCGGGAGCTTCCAGAACCCAGCGAGACATCTTCGTCTGTAAGGCGTCGACTTCCCTTGGCGAAGGAGGCCTAGCCTGTATCATGTGATTTGTCTGTTTTCAACTCGACGACCTTTGATTGTTTTTTTTGGTACACATCACGATAGTTCACTTGTAGCCACCGAGATCATTGGTAAGGCTCATCAGTGTCGGGTGCTGCGTTGAGAGTCATCAATTGTAATTCTGTCGAAGCCTCTCACGGGCTTCAGTAGGATCTGGTCCATGGCCTTCTTACAGCCGGGTATTCAACGACTTGAGCTGCTCATTCTCGTAGCCCTTTTTATACTATGCCTGTCGTTTTTTGGTGTCGCTGAACTATCGATGAACTTTTGGGTCGATACTTAACCAAGGCGTTCAGTCTTGCCGAGATCCGAGGCTACCAGAATGTCGTTCGGAAGCACTTCCTACCCGTTACGGGAGATCTGCTTTGTGATCGGCGCTGATCGTGTTCCTACTCACTAGAATCTTCACAGGGTAGAGCTCTCGAGTATGACGAGGGTGGCGCAGTCCCAAGACCTGCATTGTGCAATAGTGAACAGTACTGTCCCCCCCTCTGTGCGCTGAATGAGCTCGGGAATGTCCCGAGTTCGAGCTTTCTCCTCGAGTGTCGTTACACTACAGCAAGTGAATGATTGCCAGCATATATCGCTCCGGATCGGAGGGAATCGGCAGAGGAAGGCAAATGGTCGGAATGTTCAGATCCTCAGAAAGCCAGTCGGTCACTTACTCCATAGTGAGGAGTCAGATGAGGGAGATGCTTGTTTCACTGCTCTGCATGTTGCATGACACTCATGCAAAGGGGTATCTGTTGACGTCCTCGAGCCTAGTCCGGTCGCAAGGGTTATCAATCGGCTATCATTCTCTCCGAGGTAGGCCGCGTTAGAGGAGACGTGCAGCATGAGAACTGTGAGGGGATTGCGGTTGTATGCAACTTCATTTTCGTCCAGTCGAGGAACATTGTTGAGCATTGTTTCCAGGAGGGTGGTACAGTAGTGGCAGCTGTGGTTGTTCAGTTGACTGTTTCCTTTTGACCCGTCAAGCCTGGTTGGCTCTCTTCTATCCTATGAAGTTTTTCTCAGGCTCGGAGGAATCTCTCAGTCTACGGATTGAGTGGTGGGTGCTCCTTCACTCGGTCATGTTCTTGGCTTTCTATTGGTTCTTGTCACCCCTGCAGCACGTTCAGGATGCCGATCGCAACTCGCGCTACTTCTGGTTCATCAATCTCTCAACATACTTCCTCCTTATCACGGTATTCCGTCATACCGAGAGTGCCCCTGCTGGAGCTACCGTACCCTTCCGCTTCAGTAAGGTGATGTCCTTCTTCCTACCGGCTCTTGTTCTCGGACTCCCTGGATTCTTTATTGTCGAGGGTGTCCTCCGTATGAGAGGCATCTCGATGCGAAGAACTCAGAGGGAGTACATCAGCAATCTGCTCTTGATGGCTTCGGCCCTGAGTCTTCAATACGGTTTCTGTAAGCAGGAGGAAGGCGTACTGGGTGTTACCTCCAATGGCTACTGCGACTATCTTGATAGTCCCATCTCGCTACAGTTACCGGTCGTGATAACCATGCTCTTGCTGTATGGAATATCGTGGCTTGTGCAGAGGATACTCGGCCGGCGCCATGGCTTTTTGTCTGCTGGGCCAGTATTGGCTAAGCACCCGCAAGCTGAGGAGGAGGCCGAGAAGCGTCGAGGCCCGCACCCGAAATTACGCAAGGCTATGGTCTCCTGGTACAGCCTATTCATGACCACCTATATCCCGCAGGTGACGGTCATGCTGAAGGTCTTTATGGGTCGCTTCGATGTAAGGACGCTTCTCGCCGCCCTGACCAAGGAGCCGGAAGACACGCTGACTTTTGAAGACCAGTCCGATAAGGAGGAGACCTGGTTCGACTTCTTTGCTGACGGTGGTGACGGCTTCGACTCTAGTTATACGGTGGGCCGCTTGATAGCTCAACCATATCTAGGAGTCGATGTTCCAAAGGATGCTCCCGTTGCTGAAAAGGTGAGTAAACTCCCTATCAGTGGGGTTCCTGTGAGAGGTCCTGGCCAAGGCCGTAGCTCTGAATCCTTTGCGATGAAACGCCACAACTCGATGCCAATTCTGGGACATGGTGGCAATCGTGTGAGGACGGACAGCGTCTCCTCTGAGACGCACCTTACGGGTCTACAAAGGGTTCCGTCCGACAGTGGTACTGGTCACCGCCGGATCATGCTCCCTCGAGCCAGTGTAGTTTTCCATGGTGGAGACCTCGCCTACCCTGTACCGAGTCATAAGGCTTTCGTTAACAGACTAATACGGCCGCTCGAGTGGGCACTACCCCCGTATGAAGAGGTTACAACAACAGAGTCGAAGTCTTCGGCGATCGTTGATCGGCCTCAGTTCTTTGCCATACCAGGCAACCATGATTGGTGAGACTTGTGGTTCTGGCTTTTCACTCGAAGCTTGATACACAGGTACGATGGCCTGGAGGTGTATCTTCATTGGCTCGTGGGCCAGGACCATCTAGCTGGGTGGAAGCTCCCTCAGAAGTGCTCCTACTTTGCTGTGAAGCTATCTCATGGGTGGTGGATCTGGGGTCTGGACCTCAGTCTCTCGTATGATCTAGACCGTCCACAGTATGAGTACTTCTGTGGCCTGCTGGACTCGGGCAAGGTCAGCACCGAAGACCGTGTGGTCGTCATTACTCACAGACCGAATTGGGAGTCTGATGTTGCTGAAGGCATTGTAGGATGGGGACTATTGATCATGGTTGGTCCATGACAAGTGCTACTCCTTCTCAGAGAACTGGATACCTACTCAGTGTTCTTCTGGATAAGATAGGAGAGCCTCGTTTGGCCATGCGTCTAGCAGGGGATGTCCATCATTACTCCCGATACATGCCTTCAGTAATAACGTTTGGGTGTCGACGCAAAAGTGGCGGCATGATCTCACTTTTCGTTCAGGATGGCAGTAAAGGAGTTCCTCTAGTAACATCAGGAGGGGCAGGTGCCTTCTTGCATCCGACCCACTTCCCCCCGAAGGACATCTTACAAAAGGAGTCCGTCGATGAGCGCATCGGCAAGCTGAATAACAACGAGTTTGCCTACGCTGCTGCGGGATCTGGTCAGAGAATTCCCATAAAGGTCTCTGAACCTCTTGGAACAGGGTACTAATCAGGGCCTACATTAGATTTCAGCTATGAGGGAGAAGGTTCGCGGCTGGTCGCATTGTTTCCGTTCCTCTCTTACTGCTCTCCTGTCGAAATTAGCTGGTTCATGGGCAATGTCAGATGTAAGTCAGCATTCGAATGTCAGGTACACTCGTGTCGAGTCGTATCCACCTGAGAAGGTCAGTCGGCGCTTGACATGGCTCAACCCCATACAATTCCGCAGACGCAATTGGGGAGCTGATGTGGTCTTAGGGATGTGGTACCTAGCCATGGTGAGCCGTCTTTCATCATGGGCTGGCATCAATATTGAATATTACTCCTGTTGTTCCGTCGAAATTCACGTCGATTCTCAATAGCATTTTTCTTCGTTGTGAATATAGTAGGTTCGGAAGAATTTCGTGAAGATCGCTTAGGCTTGTATCTTTTCAGAGCATCTCGGCTTTACCATTGTGCGATGCCGGCAGGGTGCTGAAGCAGCCCAACGCCCTTCTGGGCTTGTACGAGTTCGTCGTTCTCATCATCGAAGCCTACGACAAGATATTCCGTCAATCGTAGCAGGTCAACATCCGCTATCGAGCGCTACTGTTTACATCAGATACGTGTCGCTGGTTGGACAGATCATATTCATCGCTATGTGTATCGGTTGTGCTGAGGAACAGATGGGCCAAGCCAAGAGGTAGTCTAAGGGGCGAGTTGAAATCATTGGCGAGAATTGAGATCTGTTCTTCCCTCCTAGGTTCATCGTTGGGCTGATCCACGGCATGTGCCATTCCCTGGCAGCTGTATCTGCAGTATGCTTAGTGGAATGCTTCTGCGAGTACCTATCCAACGTCACACCTACTGCCTCTGGAGGAGATGCTCTGGAGATCCTTGATTCGACTGAAGCCCTCATCGTGTCCGCCTTGGGGCCGTTTTGGGTGGGTTGTGCTTCAAGTAGAGACATCCGACTTCACCGTCCTCCCTCCATAGGCATCAATGCTTCCAACACCTGCTTCCCTCAACTCCCTGTTCCTCTCGATAACAGATCTGCCAAGTCGGGCCTTCTACAATAGAGCTGCCGTTTGCACCGCTATAGCGAATAACATGGTAGGCTTAGTGACGCCAAGTGTGTGACTCGGTGAGTTCGTTGGTCTGCTAACAAGTTTTTCTATCTTATTCAGCCCATCGACCGTTTCCAGTATCTTGGATATCTTGGCTCGGTATCACCCTTCCTGTACATCATCATGACGCCCATCGCCTCCTTCATTTTCGGTGTCTACTTGGTCATCTCTCTTAACTATCTTGGCCAGCACTGGAACGAGGCTTTCAGCTCTCTTCGCATACAAGACTACAAGCATTTCCTTCGTATGTGGATCAGTCCGGACACAGGAGACCTACACATCTTCGTCATCGGCATTGACCATGTCGCTAGACATTGGGAAGCGGACCCCTATTGGGACGGGAGGCTCCTACCGCAGGGCTCACATGTACTCCACGTGCGACATTCGTGGTGGTGATGGTATGCTGAGTTATAGGTACCATCTTGGAAGTGGATTACACCAAGCAAGTACCGCCCTAAGAGTGACTCGAAATCAAAAGAGGACGACCTTTCCTTCTGGGCTCGTAAAGTGGAGCAGGGGCTAGGACCGTCACCCTCAGTAAGTCACTACGTGGGTCGTCATGGGGTCAGTCAGCTCGCTGGTATTGTTAGGACTATCGCAAACCCCAACCGGATGGGCAGCCTAAGCTCGTAGACTACTTTGTTATTGAGGCATCGAAGAAGCAGGCTGTGCTAGCTGAACAGGAACTGGCGAGCGAGGAAAAGTCTCCCCATAAAGTGATCACGGAAGCATACTCCACAGAAGAGTCTACCACGTCAGAAGGTGAGTTTTCGGCCAGCTGCCTCACGTTCTAGCGTGTTGGGTGGTTACGTTACTCATATCTGATGGCAGACACGGACACTACTGCAGAGTCATGGCTGTATCGTGTGGGGGCTGTCATAAAGAAGAGACTTACAGCATCATCGACTGGAGATGAGTTCAACTTGTGATTCTTTATATCACTACAGATTGCCCGCCTATGAACCGATTTTTCCAATTCTACCCCAACCTTATTCACCCCATGGTTTTACTGTCGCGTTTTCTCTTCTGTATTATTGGTTATTTCGGGTGCGTCGATGGGCATTACTCGGGCGTTTCGGTTTCTCTAGCTCATTTGTGGGTTTCATTCGATAATTCCATTCAGCCTGTTGTCTACCGATGGCTACCTCTAGTTTGGAGCCACTCCTCGGGGCGTCACCCGTCGATGTTCGAGGGTTTCTCGAGAGTCAGGGGGCTGCTGACATAGAGGAGAAGGAGTACTCGGACTGTGGTTATATACAATCGAAGTCTCTGGGCATCAGTATGCGGCTGAAGGGCGATCGAGTCGACTGCATCTATGTTTACACGTCTAGTGCCAAGAATAAGGGTTACACACGATACCAAGGAGATCTGCCACTCTCGTTATCGTTGGACTTTCGGTATAGCGACGTTTCTAAGAAGCTCGGAGTGCCTGTGGATCGCGAAGGTGGGAAAGGCAACATGGAGTGTGTTGCAGTGTATGAGCTCCTGGGAGTGGAGGTCGGCTTCGACTTTCGATTCTGGGAGGAGTGCAATGACAATACAAATCCAGAAGTACTGTATTACTGCTTCTTTAACAAGTTAGAGGAGACTGATAGGATGTGCGAAGTGTGCGGTAAAGTATGCTCGAGTTGCTGTAGTCGGTGTAAGAAAGTTTGGTATTGTAGCTCGACTTGTCAGAAGAAAGACTGGCTTAAGGGCCATAAAGACACCTGTTGTAAATGACTAAACGTTTCTTGTTTCTCAAGGTGTGAGTTGCGGTCAATTGGTACTCAATGTTACCTGGGCGTCTCTACTACACAAACATACTTCAGATTCGATGGTGATGTCGACGTTATGGCAGCAATCAACACAAGCACGCCGTCAACTACGACTAACACGGTCACTTGCACACTGACAACTACTAGCACACCATCAACTATCACTCGTACAGCACCACCAGTACGCCTTCGAATACCACTTACACGCCGTAGAATACCACTCACACGCCCTCGGATACCACTCACACGCCTTCGGATACCACTCACACGCCATCGGATACCACTCACACGCCATCGGATACCACTCACACGCCATCGGATACCACTCACACGCCTTCGGATACCACTCACACGCCATCGGATACCACTCACACGCCATCGGATACCACTCACACGCCATCGGATACCACTGACACGCCATCGGATACCACTCACACGCCTTCGGATACCACTCACACGCCATCGGATACCACTCACACGCCATCGGATACCACTCACACGCCATCGGATACCACTCACACGCCTTCGGATACCACTTACACGCCCTCGGATACCACTGACACGCCCTCGTGTACTACTACGGAAGAGTACGTAGGTACTGGGAAGAGCTGTCAGTGTGATTTACGCCGAATGAGCTCTGTATGTGCTATTTGTGCACTCGCTTGATTCCAGGATGGTTTTTGATTTGTCGTGTGTTAAACTTCGTTGTTTCCTTGGATGGTCAGTGACAGCAATTATTCGCTGCTCTACGGAAAAACTCCCTGGAATCTGTATTGGCAATATAGTGTTGTGTGTTGACTTACCTAGATTGTCAAAGCGTCATCACTGATAGAAGACTCCGAGAGTCATGTCAGGAGGGATGAGTGAGTGCGCTGATTCATGGCTGAGTCGTTTTACTCGTAAATCTGAGGACCTCCAAGCAGCGTTAAGGACACAATAATTTGCCCTCCGAGTTTCAGTCGAGGCCGAGCATTCAGCGGTGTCCCCTTACACAACACAGCTCCTCAGCTACATCGAAAAGCACCGTTGTGGAACATTCTTCTATTTTGGGACGATGTCTCGTATGTTGAAGTCTTTCGTGGCCGTGGCTACCGTAGAAGTTGTCCTTGCTGGACAGTGCTCAACCAATGATCATGAGTTCTGGAGCTCCTATGATCAGACGTTCAGTGATTTTCTCACTGGTTGTGCCAAGAAAGAGTGGGGAAGCGCAGAGAAGACGGCGAAGTGCTTGACGAGCGATCCTAGGAGTGACTTGTCTGCTCCTTGTGCCACCTGTTTCGGTGAGTATGAGAACTGTGCGAAAAGTGAGTGTTGGTTCCACTGCATGTGGGATTCTACGTCCAACTGGTGTTTGGACTGTATCGAAGGTTCGAGATGCCGGAGTGAGCTGGAGACGTGTACCGGTTATGGATCTGCCCAACTGCCTCCTCGTCCGCTCGGGACTCTCAGCAAACTCCCAGTCCTTGGACAATGCTCTGATCAAGATCATGATTTCTGGAGCTCTTATGGCCAAGAGTTCAGCGATTTTCTCACCGGCTGTGCCAAGAAGGAATGGGGGAGTGCTGAGAAGACCACACAGTGCCTTCTGGGTGACCCTATGAATAAGCTGTCGTATCCTTGTGCTTCATGCTTTGGTGACTTCCAGAATTGTGCGAAGGATGAGTGTTGGTATACCTGTATGTGGAGCTCTACTTCCAGTTCGTGTCTGAGATGTATCGACAAATCAAAGTGCCCTGGTGAGTTGGCAACATGTAGTGGTTACACCGAAGAAGAATTACCACCCAAGCCTAACACACCTGTCACGAGTCTGCCAACCACTACGATGGCTCCGACCACAAGCACGACTAGTACTAGCACGATGACGACTACTGAGAGCACAACTGCCTCTGTCATGACAACGAGCTCAACGAGTACGATAACGAGCACCTATACTACGACGATTGCGACCGGCGCTACCACCACTGCGGTTGTTACCCCTGTGGTCGAGGGCAAGTGCACAGTGGCCGATTACAGTCTGTGGTCTAGCTACGGTCAAGCTTATAGTAATTTCATCGCCTATTGCGGAAAACAAGCGTGGGGAGATGCTAATGGTACGACGGAGTGCCTCGAGAAGTCTGGTCTGACTCCCACCTGTTCAGCCTGTTTCGGTCAGTCCGTTGGGTGTGGTAGAGACAAGTGTATGTTCAGTTGCCTCTCTGGTCCGACAACAACTAAATGCCTCGATTGTATCGCCAAGACAGAGTGCAATCCGGATCTTTACAAATGCACTGGCTATCCAGCCTCCGAGATGCCCCCGGTTCCCACTGCTGTAAGTCCTTTGCCAGTGACTACTAGCTCCGTTACAACGGTGCCTGCTACTACCACTAAACTGGCTATTGTCAACTCCACAACCACTACTACAATTCGCAGTACCACGTTCCCCAGTACGATCACCAGTAAAGCGACCACGGAAGCTACCTCATTCACGACCACAACTCCGGTAATGACCACACCTTCAACCAAGGCCACAACTCCGGTAATGACCACATCTTCAACCATGACCACAACTCCGGTAATGACCACATCTTCAACCAAGGCCACAACTCCGGTAATGACCACATCTCCAACCATGACCACAACTCCGGTAATGACCACATCTCCAACCAAGGCCACAACTCCGGTAATGACCACATCTTCGAGCACGATTACAGTTGTGACCACGACAACACCAGTAGTGAAGGGCGACTGTACTGCAGCAGACCACAGTCTGTGGAAGAACTACGGTCAGGCTTACAGCAACTTCATCGCGTATTGTGGGAAACAAGCGTGGGGAAGTGCAGATGGCACGACGAAGTGCTTAGAGCAGTCAGGTTTGACCTCGAGCTGTTCAACCTGTTTCGGACAATCTGTTCAATGCGGTAGAGATAAGTGTATGTTCAAGTGTCTTTCGGGTCCAACAACTGATAAGTGTCTCGAGTGTATCGCGAAGACGGAATGTGATCCTGACCTCTACAAGTGCACCGGATATTCAGCTGCAGAGATGCCTCCTGTACCAACTGCTGTTGAGCCTCTGCCAAAGGCTAGCGGAGTTAGTGATGCTACTACTACCATACCTTCACTTCTTATATAGATGACTCGTCTATGTTTATCCAGAGTGTTTTTCGAAAGCTTGCTGTAAGTTCAGCTTTTGGCTATGTTACTCAACAAACTTGTTTGGATTCTCGAAGTTATCTTCCAATTTTCCTCGCAGCGATTCAACTTTTGGACGCTTGCTATGAGTGTAGACTTGGCGATTTTGATTGACCAGTTGTCTACCTTCTTTCCGGCTGCGCTCAACGGGTTCAGAGCTTCTTTGAATTTTCTCTTTTCCCGATCTTGACGTGGTCGGTAGCAAGTTGAATTTCATTCTTCCACTTGCTCATCTTCCAGTTTGACTCGTATGTGTTCACCGATTCGGAAATTTTCCCTTTCTCGCCTACATCTGACTTTGTTGTGTTGTATCATCTGACTTATTTGTTTCACTTCAGGGTGGTTAGTAATTTCCTCGTGCCCTTGGGTAGTTTACTGGAGAATAGCGACAACACCATCACCATATTTATCAACTGCACACAGTATCTGCGATTCACCTTACGATTATCAAAAGCTAACCGACTAAAAAAACTCAGCATTAGCTAAGTTGCACTAGTAACTAGGACTAGTCATCAAAACTAGCAACGAATAGCTACGAATGATAAAATCTTCGGGAATCTGCATAACTCTGGGAAGGCCCATTGGATCTACGCGTACGCAGGATCCCAGAGGACGTCAAGACCTCTTACCCAAGTAGACTGTACCCAAGGCAAGCTCGCAGCACATAGGATACTATCATGTTACATTCAAGAGTTGCTTAGATTACGAATGCATATCTCTAACGCCAAACTTGCCGAGATGTTCGGCTCTTTCTACGATCGTCCACACTGGCCGGCGACAGAGCACTAGGCAACACCCGAAGGCATCTCTTCTTCGCGTGAATATCAGCCTTGCCGATGAGAACCTATTAAGACTCTTCCAACTGGACCAAGTCTACCACGGCTCACTTCTGCTCCACAACAAAAACATGTAACCCTTTCGCCATCCCTATCAGCCTTAGGGTGAGTCATCTTCTGTATTTTCGCCAGCTCACTCGATAACTCTTGTATCAGCGAGAGAGTCTTCGCAAGCGGAACGCGGCGAGGCGCTGGAGCCGGCCTGCCTCGCAGGCTGTGGGGTAAAACCTGAAATAAAGGAACGGCGTTACTCCACTTCGGAACGGAGCTCAGCTACCGGCGCAGTTCTTTCTGTTCCATACGGTTCATTACTGCCAGCCAAGACGTCGTGAAGCGAGGGGGCAGTAGACGGTAGTCTAGGAGCCGCGCTAGTTTCCAGAGGTGCTGACAACCGCGAGCCTTTTTCGCTCGTACTGCGACCTGATCAAACAAGAGCTACGAATTAGTACTCAAAGTCAACCCACGAAGAGAGCCGAAGTGTTCTCGTCCTCGCCGGTTGAGCTCCCGCAATGCAGTAAGCGGCGGTGACTTGGATCGCCGTCGGGCTGAGCGCGAGCACTCAGTAAAGGCAACATACAGCTGAGAGTTTACAAAGACTTCTCGACTGAGCTCTGTGTATCTCCGTAGATCGTCGCAGCTGTTTTTCAACACTCCTCGAAAGACGTCGACGTAACCTTCCAGGGCTCAGACCCGCCTTCTTTCGCGTTCGTCCTCTTCTCACAGAGGATGCTGGTCGCTGGTCTCCGTCGTTATCACCAGCAGCAACGTCCTGACCTCTTGTCGTGCTCACTGTTGAGCGATGGTCCGCCCCGACAGGAGGCTCAGTCGCCGCCATAGGGTCAGTCCCGACATTGGCAGTAGCGCTGACAATCGCTGGTGGCCGCGGCTCAACGGCCTCAGCTGCAGCACGAGATGGCAGGCTACTACTGATCCTCGACATTCGGAGGAAGAGAGAGACCTCCACGGATGACGATGATGCTGCACCTGTGGAGTCTGTCGAGCCCGGGACCAGCAGCCACCCCCGTACCAGCGGTAGGCGCCAACGCCACTGTAAGCTTATCGAATGAGGCCATCGTGGGCGGACCGAGAACTGCGTTCTCGACATACCTCCGCATGTCGAAGCATCCAGTGGCCAGTAGATATTGGTCTTCTTCTCCCACTCGGAGAACCTATGCTGTTCGATTGACAATTTACGCCTCCAGCATGCTGGCAATCCTTGCACTACCAGGAGTAACCACAAAGGCACAGGTTCGACCCCCACGGCTTCCGCTTTAATCGTGAAGTCGCTGAAACACAGAGCCCTACTCCCGCTAACCTCATGCTCTCTCACCAAGACTTCCCTCGCCCTCCAAAGTCGATCACAGGAGAAGTGTCTATATCAACTGTAGGAGGCACTATCGCCAACACAGGGTACTCCATGAGAGTCAGTCTAAGGGAGAGCTGAACAACGATAAAAACGGTTGATACGAGTATAGATGAGGACTGCCGACCTCACAAGCCTTGTCAGTGGCAGCCAGATGAGTCAGCTGCTGTGCTACAGAGGAGGCATCTACTAGGCTTATGATCACTTCCAGACGCAGAGGGAAACTCTCTGCAGTAGAGTGGCTATGCATGGGGGCATAAATGATCCAGATCAAATGGATTTCCAGAATCTAGGGCCTAGGGGACCGCATACTGAACGCGAATCAGTAGGGGAAGGAGTTGATAAAGGGACAGGCAATGATGGTCGACTTTAGAGCGTTCACGAGACGCCTATCGAATAACTATGTCGACGTGAATGGTGCAGCTACACATGACGAGGTGTTTTATGATAGAACTACAAGTGGCAGAAATGGTCGAAGTCCTGCCGCACTCGACGGCGACGGCGACTAGCTTTTCAGCATTTCAGAATCCCACATGGGTTTGCTCTGAAACGATCATTCGCTGGTTGCCTACAGGTACTTGGACAGTTGGTCACTCTAGCAAGCCGCTGGACCTACACAGCTTATGTTGAGCCTTTCCAGATAAGACGGGTTTATGGTATTACCTCAGCCTCCTCGAGGGGGCTTGGGGAGGTCTCCTATCCCTTTTATATTGGGCCGCCCAGACGAGGGGCCGCCTCTGCGATGGTCGTCTCTACCTCCACCTATCGCCCCAGGACTGATCCAACAACGTTGACTGCGAGAATTACCTCCTCCGCCACGGGATGATGATGATGACGAAGAGGAGCCCCCAAAGAAAGGCAGCCAACTCGTCCAACTACTACCCTCCTCTCGGCCACCAGGGGCTATACTTGGAGGTTTCTGGTAGGCTGACGTGTTGAAGGCACCAGGATCTGCAGCTGTCTCTTGATACCTAGGCAACGAAGTTAGCACCTCCAACACGGAAGAATGAATTGGCATAGCCTATAATTTTTCGACAGTCTAAAGTCTATGAGCCCAAGCACCTTCGCTTCTGTTCCTCTCTAACTTTGCTGAGCTGATCTTGTGCTCGCTGCTCACGATCCACTCTAGCCTGCCGACTTTCGAAGTCGAATGCCGTCCGTTTACTCTTGCCGGAGCTCGTTGGCCGCAAGCAACCTTCTCTGGGTTCGGGCGACTCAGAGCTAGCAGTCGATCGTGTGGCAGCACTGTGTCCAGGCGGGAGGAGAGAGGCTGAATTATAAAACCTGATGTTGTGGAGTGCCATAGGGGATAGCATCGACTGATGAGGACTACTTATCCCGTGAAGCTTCCTTGACTTGCTTCATTTGCTGCTCTTGAACGAGTCTTTTTTTCTCAACGTCCGTCCGCAGGGCGAACTGCCGTGAGTGACCGCCTGTAGGCTTCTTACCCAACGTGCCAGAACCGGTAGCTGAAGCACGTGTGTGTAGGAGTAAGAAGTCAGTGATGACTACGTTACCGCTGGGTTGGGTACTCTGGGCAGCCTTGAGGGCATCGTGGAGATCCTCTAGACGTTCAGCTGCATCAATAAGGGTCTCATCTGCGAGATGATGATGGAGTGTGGATAGTCTAGAGCCCTATTACGTTGCTCCTCACTAGAAGGATCCCAAACATAAGAATCAACGGTCTCTTTGAAGCCAGCTTCCCTGAGTATGCCTATTACGGGGGCATATAGTTGTCCGGTGTGTGCATCACACAGTGAATTCTGTAAAACCTGAGGAATAGCCTTGCACTAGAGGACGACAGCGATCGATATTCGGCATGTGGAGTAACCTCTGACCTAGTTGGTATCCTGCAGAGGCAACCTCAAGATTCTCCTCACCTTTGCCGATTTCTTTATAGTGTGGTATTTGTTCTCAGTAGGATCATCTCGGATGTTCCCGAGTATCCTCACCAGCGTCCCATAGCAGGCTGCCCTCTGTGGTGTGTCCAATCCTAAGTTGGCCAACGCCGGAAGTATGTCGTCCAGAGGTGATCCTGGCATGGCGACTAGAACAGTGCTCCGGCTGATGGAAGGTGCTCACCTGCCGTTGAGGAAATGCAAGAATGAGCAAGAGCTCAAGATTCAGACTGGAATCACCCATTTAAATGCTCCGATGAAGCTTCCTTTTGCCCCAGTCAAGGTTCATAGCGAGCCATACGCGGTACACTTCGTCGCGACTAGTAGGCGTAGTTCGTATCGAAACCAGCTTGAGTATTTTCCCTTAGGTCGATGCTCGTGCGCCTACTGTTTGTGGTTGATAGTGGCAGTCACTGGCCTAGTCGTAAGTCTTGTGGGGGAGACGTATGCTACGTATTATAAGAGCAGTATGTATCCGTCTACACGTTACTATAGCAGCCTCAAGTATGTGAAGGATCTCCGATAGGCTCTGCAGGTCCCTCTAATACTGGCACTACAAGGGCATGCCTTATGGGCTAGGTCGGCCATCTATCATGAGCGTCCAGTCGTCACGTTCACGAATAACTTTTACGTACTGACGTGCCCAGTATCGCCAACCCTACCATCTCCATCAGCTCCTGACGAACGGCCAGCCTCGGGCTGGTGCCGGCGTTGGCTTCTCCGTGGATAGTCCCTCTGGCGTGTCGATACAGTCCAACAGTATTGGCGAGGGCCAAGTCCAGCTAGAAGTGGCAGTACAGGATGGAACTGGTAGCAGTATGGCATTGTTCGCTGGACCATCTGAGTGCCTCAGAAATAAACTCGCTAGAGTTCATAGGGGAATTCAAAATGGAGCTCTCTAAGAAGCATTCAATTCTCTCGTATGCTGCAGGTCGGTATTAGGCAATGTATCAGTATTAGCACTTCTGCCCTCGTTGGTTGTGCAGTTGGTGCTGAGTTCATTCGCCCAAGTGGTATCATGAGCAGCAGCCGTCTGAATGCATGGTTGAGCTTAGACCTGGTCCAGAAGGAGGCTCTGGAAGAGGGCTCTCAGGTTGAGAGTTTATTCGGACAAGTAGGAGCATGTGCTGTCTTTGTGATGGACCGTTCAGGCGGCAGAGCGCTTGTCCAGTGGAGGAGGTGGCTCGAGTGAAGACTTCTTCGTCACCTTGGGGGCGCTGCAGGCCGATAGCGGAGTTACTCTCGTTGGGAGGAAAGTATTTCCAGATGTGTGGTGAGGCATTGGTCAAACACGGCCGAAGTCGGCAGTTACTGTCTAGGTCGAGTCCTTCATCGGGACTGAACACAACGGATTTCACTGCCCTGCTCACCTTTATCGTCCCTGAGCAGATAGTGTATACCATATTTCTTCCAAATCGTCGATCGAACTACCCTTCTACTAGATACTACTCAATGGAAGGCTTCGAGACGTGGAAGTTCGCCTGGGTCCAATATCTTGCAATTCTATTTCCGAGCTACTTGATAGCCACTTGTGTGCTCTCATTTTGCTACAGGAATAGTCTGGTAGGAGTGTCGATCTATAAAAGGAGAAAAATCCCCTCGCCGAGGTTCGAACCTTCGTCGTGGATCCTCTGGCATCGAGGCGGCTGGTGGTCGGGGAGCGCATCAAGGCAGCCTAGTGGGCATGATAGTGACTGTGGGCGTCTCAAGAGTCGGTCAGTGTTGACGTTTGGGAATAGGGTATTGCCGTGAAGGACTTTTTCCTATTGGAATGGCTGACGAGGAGACTCCAGATTACACTCTTACGCTAGAAGACGGTACAGGTAATTGCTAATCGCATTGAGGGGTTTTTACTAGTGATTTTAGTTGTCCATACTTCGAGGGAATTCACGGGGTGTGGGCGTGCAGTATACGCCAATGGGGAAGTTTATGATGGGGACTTTGATGAGGGTGTCAGGCATGGGAAGGGGACGTGGGTCTACCATGTGTCATCTGCCTCGATGTTGGGATGCTAGGTATTGGTATAGGAATGGGGATGTTTATACGGGACAGTTCCAAGAGAACGAGAAGCATGGTATGGGCCGACTGGTGTACACTGGTAGAAAGGTGCCCAACGACGACGAAGATGGTGAAGTTGATGAGGGTAATAAGGGCCTTACCACTCCTTTCTGACATCGTACTGCACAGGCGGTACCTCTGCTCAAGGAAGTACCTATCATGGACAGTTCAAAGAAGGCGAAAAGCATGGACAAGGAACATACAAATACAACAATGGAGATGTCTACTCTGGTGAGAGCCTTATTGAGCGCAGTATTAGTTGTATATAGCCACATCTGGGGATTGAACTCGAGCGCCTTAGAAATTCTGCGGATAGGACGAGGCGATAAGTTTTCCTGGTTTGATAGCGCCTCGTGGTTGCTGCTGTTCTATGTCAGTGTTTGTTTCGCCGTAGGTGATTGGGCCAAGGGCCGAAAGCATGGCCGTGGTACTTACGTCTATGAGGATGGGTCATCACTCGAAGGGAAGTGGAAGGAGGGTTCTTTGATGGCGGGGACTTGGACGCTTCCAAGCGGTGTCCGCTTCCTTGGGGATTTCAAGTAATATTTATCATCTCTACCAAATCGATCGATTCTATGTAGAGAGAACAAGCCCTTCGGGGAGGGAAAATGGGAGATGCCGTGTCGACAGGGTCACACGGTGTCGGGGAAGTACTACTTCTTGTGGGTAGCAGTTTCATGGTCTGCGCTAGGTATGTCCACAGCAGAGCTCCGACTGAAGAGGGGCAAGAGGCTGTTGACGACAATCTCTCTTTACGGTTCATCCCGCATGATACGTGAATTCGGGCAGAGTTCGTTGTGTACTCACAGATTGAGATTGTGTTCGAGGGGAGAGACAATGGCAGTGTTCTTTTGCTATGACTGAGCCGCTCGTCGAGGATGTGCTCTCAGGGAGGCTGTTAAAGTTCCGTAATAAACCGCCGGTCCGTCAGTCGTTAGCGCAGCTTCTCAACGAGGGCGGTACTCGGCTGAGGGAGCGACCATCAGCTTCGGGCATTGGCGACTACGTGGCACAGGGGATCGCCGAGGTCACCCGTATCGTGGACATATCAGCCCAAGACTGTTGGAGGGAGAAGTTCGTTCGACTAGGGATGCAGTGGGAAGATGGAAAGGCTAGGAATGTGCTGTTCATGGAGGAGAAGGTCATTCACTTAGCCGGGGGGTGGGTGGACGCAGCGCCTGGTCAAAGAACGAGGAATCGAGCAATGACCGGATACGAACACATTCTTACGGTCTATGTGCCATTCGCTGCTTATAAGTATCCAATGACGTTTGCCTTTTCGAAAGAGGCTGAGATGAAGAGGTGGGCAGACCGTCTCGCAGAGGCTTGCAACGATGAGCTTGTGGCTAGAGACCGAGGCCTGGGGCGACTCAGGGTTGCGCTGCTTTCAGTAGCTGGTCGTAGGGAGGAGGGGACCTGCTTGGAAGTCAGCCATAGTGGTTACAGTGTGCGTAGTGCTCCAGTGATTGACCTTCCTGTGGAGGTTCGGGATGTTCCTATCATACAGAACAACCCCAACGCCTATGTGGAGTTGTCGATTTGGTCCGTCGATCGGGGTACACCAGTCAAAGGCCTCGAGGTCCATTGCCCTTTCTATGAGATAGAGCGGCTCGAATCACAGATAGTAACTTATGAGACGCCACTGGACGCGGCCGGGACGGATTCTGAGACGGTCGAAATACGCAGCGTGAAAATTCTTTTCACCATGGATAGAAGTTCTATGGGGTCTTGGCCGCGGTATTTCCTGCCGGTCCAGGGAGAGGAGTGTGGGTGGCCACAAGGTCTCACTCTTACTCAAATCACGGACGGTGCATTGACACCTTCGTTCCGCCGTATAGGGCGGGACTTCGCCGTTGCGCAGGAGTTTTGGAGAAATGTGGTTGCTATAAGGTATTTCGAGCGACCTATGGTATCGCTATTGTGGTTCTCTGGACTGTCCCTTTGGGTTCTCTATCTCTACGAGTATTCCCTTTCTTTTGTATTCACTCTTGGCGCCCTCTCGCTGGTGACACGTCATCCACTGGTCGAGGCTCTGACAGAGTGGGGTCGGGGTGGACTTGGGCGATTTCGATGTAACTGTAAAGTGGAAGAGGGAGAGGCATTGGACAGCATGGATGTTTATGAGAGCGAACGGAGGTTATTCGTATTTGCTGATTTTTCTCCGGAGAATCTCCTGTTATGGGATCCCCCACAGTGGAGCACGCCTGTGCTGGACAGTGCCGGTCAGGAGGAGCTAGTCCCGTGTAAAGGGCCTCGAACGGTGATGTCGGACGGCAGCTGCTGGTCGTGGCGGGTGGTTGTAGACTCCAATACTGACGAGAATGGATACCAGTACGCTATGAGCTTCGGGGAGGGTTCATCCTGGATGAAAGAGAGCGATGTTTGGTGTTATGTGCGCCGACGGGTTTTCAGAGGCACGAAGGTGAAGGCAGGTAAAGCATCACCACTGATGGAGAAGGTAACATCGGTACAGTTTATGACCAGACCCCCATCGTCTTTCGACGTTGATAGTATCTCGCCATGCCTTAGCCCGACGCCGGCGAAGGCTGTGTCTGGCTCGACAGTCTTGGCGCCGTGGGAGGCCGTATTTAATAAGGTGAAGCAAAACGTTGAGGAGGTGTTTTCGGCCGTCCTCACAGCATGTATAGTATTCGAGAAAATGAAGAATCTTTTCGCGTGGAAGTGCCCATGGGCAAGCTTGCTGGTCCTCATCGGTCTGCTATCACTAGCAATGTTGTCCCTTTTCGTACCCCCACGGTATGTGGTAGAGGCTGCCATCGTGGGGTATTTTCTCTCTGGGCTACTCATTGGCATTGACCGGAGACGGCGCCATAGGAGGTTTGTTGACGAACTCAAGCGAGCAGCGAAGAGCAAAAGGCGGCTTCGGTCGTTTGTCAGCCATCCTGTGATCGACACGTGGGCCCTGAGCACATGCTTGAAGGTCCTGGGCTTCTCACTGCTCGCCTTGTGTGGCTGGGTTGCTGATGAATACCAAATCACCATTGACCTACGAACAATGGAAACGCTGAGCACCATACATGACTTGATGCATCTAGTCGCCTGCCGCTGCCCTTGGTTCTATACTCGGGACTCAAGCCACAGTAGATTATACAATTACCATCTCTTGCTGGGCAATGTCTTAGACCATGTACCGACTGATTGTGATCTATACGATCCTCGTTCTATTACCTTCCGTCCATGAAATATTCATGTTCCAAAACTGTGTTATCGTCCTGAGTCGGTCTCGAGTTATCGAGTTTGGGTCGTGTCCGGAGTGCTCACTAGCCTGGTGACTGTGCTAGAGTAAATGGTCGTGATGGAGTGGTACAGTCTGAATGGGCAGTAGCATCATCGTAAATGAAGCCTGCCTTCCTCAAGCTACTCAAACTGGACAAGGTTCGCCAGTTTCTCCCCGATGAGCTTATTTCCGTCATATGGTCCTACCTCGTGTATCTGGGATTCCCTCGCTTCGGTCCAAGGGAGGTGTTCTGCGTCGTACGCAAAAAAATGGTATGGTGTATAGCTTTTGATGGCCGCATTGTATATGTTGGACTTTTACAGCACGCTGGTTTGCTGTTGCTCTCTACCAGTGGGGAGCTCCAGGGGGTGTTCAACCTTGGTCCTGTACATGCAATCTGCGCTGATTCGAGCATGCCCGGCCGAGCGCTCATTGCTTCAGATGATGGTAATTTACATGCGATGGTGACACAGTATAGGAGAGCTCCCTGGACTCACATGATGCTGTTTGTGTATGATGAGACATGGTCCGGAGTTTATGTTGTACACGGCAGCAAGTCCTTGGTTTGTATCCTTTCTATGGATGCGAGTAGGATGCGGCTATACGATTTTTTCAATACATGCCAGGATTTCAGCATCCCTCTCCCAGTGGGATTCCCACTTGATATCTCCCACCTGCTCGCTTGCCGAATGACTAAAGAAGGGTGCCTATCTTGCTTCATCGTGAACACTGACACCGCGAGTCTCATTGAGTACCACTGGACGGGCACGGAACTCGTAGAGCACAGAGTATGGAACAAGGCTTTCCTGAATTCGGTTAATTCCATGACGGCGGGCAGTCTTCCAGACGGTCGTTTTGTGCTTTTACTGAACGGCGCCGAACGTGATACTAGGATTAGTACAACAAGTAGCTACACCGTATTCTTCGATCCTACGGTAGGACACGCTATAGCTGTTTGTTCTCATCCATCGAAGCAGGGCCGTGCTACTATGGCGGGCGAATACCTTCTCATCTTAGACCCGGGAGATTCGGCTATATACCGCAGAAAGATCATCATGAACATGTTTGATACTGAATATGATCTCTAGCAGTATATCGACCTTCCTACCAGTTGATGAGAAGTGACTCGCTCTTTAACACCACAGCACTGCGGGCGCATAATGATAAATGTCCTTTGTTGGAGTAGTGGTGGAGGTAATATTGATTCGTAGAGGGTTGCATCAACCCGGGAGTTCCCGAGATACAATTTAGATCGTTCACTTTTCAAGGAGGTCTACTGTTGCGTTGATGGAGAAGGGATGGCGTTTTGCTTGATTGCATCGGACATCATCTTGCAGCTTCTAACTCTCTGTTATATTCCCAATGCCTAGTTGCCCGGTGGAGGTCCTATTCGATGCTGATCATTACCCTGAGGGGCCCAACAGGAACTTCAAGGAAGCCTCCGAGCAGGAGCTCTTGGATGAGTTCCTCCCCAAATTCGAAGGGAATCGACAATTGAAAAACCATCTTGACAGTTTGATCAACGTAAGTCTCCTGCCCCTATTCGAGGGTACCGTCAACGGAGCCTTCCATCCCTCAGATACTCGACCTCAAGGATAACACTGTGAGTGTGGATGTTGGTGCTGGCACTGGTCTCCTCACACGAGAGTTGGCCCGACCTGTCGATGCTAAAGTGTATGCCACGGAGATCTCTCAAGGGTTCCTGGACTATCTGAAGAAGGACGATCGCATTGACAAGGAAAAAGTGCATCTCATCAAGTGTGAGTCTCAGCGTCTTGTGAGCTATAAAAATGTTGAATTCATCAACGTTGATAAAAGGGTGGGTTTGTGTAGTCTTAACTACGTGACAATATGGTGTTCTGGAGAGCCTGTGCTGGATCAGGTACAGAAGAGAGCCTCTGCCTCCCTGAGGCGGTGAAGGGCACCGTAGACCTCGTTCTGGTCTGCGATGTCTATCATCATTTTACCCATCCCAACGCAGTTCTGAGTGACATGAAGGCCGCTCTCAAGAGTGAGTCCATTGCACTGTCCTCGGCGAAGAACTGCCGCTGTTGTTGTCAGATGAAGGCAGGCTCGTTCTCGTGGACTACTGGAGGGACCCCAACAAGTCGAGCAAAACTGATAAAAACTGGGTTTTCACACATATACGAGGAGATAAGGAAGACTTCGTCCGGGTAGCAATCGCTGTACGGTTTGATCTGATTGATTCTCCTGCATAAGTTCGCACGGAGCAGACCGAACTCATCCTGAGTGGTGCATGCCTGAAGTGGTGCTCTTGTTAGGAGATTGTCGCGGCTGGCTTCCGCGTTGTCGAGGAGCCGGAGATTCAAGGAGTAGAGGAGAACTACGTTGTTGTTTTCAAGAAGGCACTCTGATGATGTACACAATGTTTGGAACTTCCTAACGCCACGTTCCTTTATTGGCTATGTTTCCACTCAACCTGGGCTTCTTGACTTCACTGTGAGTGCTTCGCAACAAAAGAATGTGGAAGGATGTGCACGTTGTCAACTGTGTTGGTGACGGAAATTCTTAGGGAGGTTTGGAAAGCCCTCGTTGCTTCTCGCACACGTCGTACAATAGAAACCAAACACATATCCAAAGAGTGCAACAACCATATAATCCTTCTCACGGCGGCGGAGAGAACTTTCCGTGCGAATTCATCGACTCTAGGTCTTCAATATTACCCCGAATCTTAAACCACCCACGCGCTTTGTGTGCAAGATACTCTTTATAGCTATGCATCCTATTTCGTGAGGGCCATCTACTGCTGGTATCTTGCACGGCTCGAACTACTGTTCTTTTGTGAGATATTCCAGTGTTTTCCTCTTGAAGTGTCGAATCGGACTTGAGTCATCATGAAGTAATCCTAACGCAAATAGAATTATGGTGTGCTCCATCGCACACTTCGTAGTTTTCAACTTTCTGTTATATTCTCAATGCCTAATTGTCAAGAGGAAGCCTCATTCGATCCTGATCATTATCCTGAGGGGCCCAACAAGAAATTCTTGGAAGGCTCCGAGCAGGAGCTGTTGGATGAGTATCTCCCAAAGTTTGAAGGAGATCGACAACTGAAAAATCATCTTGACAGTGTACTTCACGTAAGTCACCCGTGGTAACTCTTCCCGCATAAACTACTGTGATGCGCATGCTCATACACGCTTCTGGTACTTAGATACTCGATCTTAAGGATAACATGGTGAGTGTTGATGTTGGTGCTGGTACCGGTCTGTTCACACGAGAGTTAGCCAAATGCGCCGGTGCTAAAGTTTACGCCACGGAGATCTCTCCTGGATTTCTGGAATACCTAAAAGAGGACAGTCGCCTCGACAAGAATCGGGTGCATCTCATCAAATGTGAGTGTCTGGGTCTTCTCAGTTGAAGTTTTTTCGTTCGACTAACGCGGTGACACGAGGGATGGCCTCCTGGAATCTCGACGTTATAGCATGTTTCTCTAGGAGTCTCGTGCTGGACCAGGTACAGAAGAGAGTCTCTGCCTCCCTGAGGAGGCGAAGGGCACCGTAGACCTCGTTCTAGTCTGCGATGTCTATCATCACTTGACACACCCACAAGCCGTCTTGAGGGATATCAAGGCCGCTCTAAAGGGTGAGTCTACTGTCTAGCTCTAGATGAGGAAATACCGCTGTTGTTAGGTGAAGGCAGGCTCGTTCTCATAGACCATTGGAGAGACCCCAAAAAAGCGAGTCACCCAGATGAGGATTGGGTTTTCTCTCATATGCGAGGAGACAAGGAAGACTTTGTCTGGGTAGGCATCATCACATCAAATCGATTCCTTTTTTATTCAGTCGCATGGAGTTGCTTTTACTCATTGTGAGGGATTCGTATGCGGAAGTAATACTCTTTTTGTCAGGAAGTCGTTGCTGCTGGTTTCCGTGTTGTTGAGGAGCCAGAGATCCAAGGGGTCGAGGAAAATTACGCTGTTGTTTTCGAGAAGACGCTCTAATGATGTACACGCTGCGCGGGGCTTTCTAAAAAGCTTGTGAATCTGTTTTCCTTTTCTGACGGTGGTTTTGCAGTTTCTGAGTTCATTGGGACTATGCGAAAACTCCACTGTCTCTTAATGTTGAGGGGGGCAATCTTGTTCTGGAATTTATCGAATACATCTACCTGTGCTATAAGTGTGCTCTAAGAGTTCTATTCTATCCACTAGTCTGGTCTGGTGGAACTGAAGACTTTAACCCAAGTTGCTCCCGGGCTTCGCGACTTACTCGGGGGGGGCGGGCTCGCAGCGTGATTCGAGGCTTTGGGATCCCTCTCAACTTCTCTCCTTCGAGTACACCGACTCGAGTCTGAATCATGAAATCCATTCGTCCTGATGCAGCCGACTTAAGGAAGATTTCGCAACTTCTTGAAGGGAGGGCTACGGAAGAGTTTCGAAACGAGGACAAGGTGCTCGAGTTTCTCCTCTCGTGTTCGATGTCGAGAGAGCGCTGGCTGAGCCGGCCTGGCTCATCATCTTGATTATCTTTTCGAGGTAGCCATGATCCAGACGAAGACCATCGTCACTGTCAGCGAACGTAGACTGATCCCGTCCCGCGTCTGCCATAGCAGCTAGCCAAGTAACGAGACCTGTCAACTGTAGGGCAGAAGCTGGTCAAGGTCTCCACAAAGCCATAAGCCCGGGCCCGATAATAGCAATTGCCATCTCCTCTGACGGTGCGCTCCTCTGCCGTAGGAAGGACCACAGTCCGAGTATTGCACGGTGAGGTTTGGGCGGCCACTCGAGCTGAGCTAGGCCTCTATATGGTCATTGGGAATCGCCGAGGATTCGATCAGGATCTGTGGGATTAGTGTCGGGCTCGGGCAAGCCTGCTATTATCATCCCTTCACTGCCGGGACGGGTGACCAGCATTGACTGCCACATCACTGTCAGTTCGTGAAGCTAAGGTAGGTTCAGATCTCATCAGGAAGGTAGGCTAACAAAGGGAAACTCCTCGCGCCTGCTATCATCAGAGGGGAGTCTCCCGTTTGGAACCGTCGAAGCCTTCGCCTCGAAGGTCGCGACGATATCACGAACCGCTTCATAAGATAACCAGGTCGCACTAGAAACACAAGTGACAGTGAACTTACAAGCCTAGTCGTAATGGTATGGCATGCTACACGGCATGATCAAGCACTAGATATCTCCTTTATCAGACCCTAGCCGTGAGCCACGACCAGAGAAGGCAGCGAACGTTGGGCCACCTGAAACCTGAGAGGCCCAATCTCCATGAACAGGGAGTGCTGCTGCAGCACTGCTGCATGTAAGCTACCGAGTAGTTGGCGTATGTACTGCTATAGCGAGGCGCTGTCGAAGCAGCGCTAACGGGAGCGTAGCCCTCCAAGTCCTTATCAGCTTCATAGACCTAAAGGAGGGGATTGCGAGTCTACTGGCCAGTGTTGCAACATATATTCGCTTTGCTCGGCTGAGTTAAGGAGTTCCCTCACTCACTATAGGAGGTTACATACGAATTCAAGTAGGAAAATAACACGAATTTCGCGAGATTTTCTCGTTCCTACCAACACATGTAATTGACAACGTACATATTTTCCATAGTGCTATTGGCCCCAATACCAACATCACTTACCAGCCAGCATACGAGAGCGACTAGAAGGTCCAGAAAAGGCTGAGCCACGAGTAGCGAATCCGCAAGGGGAAATGAGAACATGGGCGCTGCCTTGACCTTCGTCAGCCTCTCTACGAGGTACAGTGTACTGACGAACTGAATAGGACGTAGTGGAAGGTGATGCACAGACAAGTGCTACCCCATTGAAGCCGAATATGAAGCCGACCATGGTTATGTAGTGTAGCATCATATCCCACTTGAGCACCACATAATAAGCACCGATGGTCCACAGCAGGCTCATCACTCCGTTAACTATCTGGAGTTGGTAACTACGATGCAACATATGAGAAGACAGTGTCCTCCCCAGAGGCTACATTCGGACACCCGCGGCTGCTAGTTGGAGGAAGAGGAGGCCTAGAAGGGCCGGCCGATACTTCCGCCGTATGGTATCGTTAGGGACATGTGAGCCTCCGACCGACGGTATCGGTATCATTGAAAAGAGCTGTGAGGGGGAACGAGCAGACCCTCTGAGAATTCAACTTCAGTCTGATTAACACAAGATGCTTGGTGTATTAACAGTAGTATACCATCAATATCGATCTGCAGCAGACCTACGGGTCTAGGAGGGAAGCACAGCTCAGTGTAGCAGCTGGGGCGAATGGTCAATGACAAGTCGCCGCCACCGCCGTCGAGCATTACGAACCTCGTGTAGCAATCACCATCATCGACAACTCTTGCCAGGGGAAAATGATAAACAATTGAGCAGCAGTTCGAACTACTGCTACTCCAACCATCACCACTATGAACATACTGATATCGTGTATACAACATCGAGGTGGTAGTAGCTGTTGATACCAAAAAATCACCAAATCATGGACGCCATACGGGCGGCGAGTCACACACAAGTGTAACCAATTACTAAGTATTATACGACAACTGTTTTGTTCTCTCAATACAACACAACTATAGTAGTATCGCCGTTTATTGGTCCTCTTCAAGCTTACACGTTATCATATCGGGCAAGTACCCGTTTATAAGAAGCCGTAAGGCATGTAGAGTCGGGGGGCTGCATCTACAACAGCGTCGCTCTAATAGCAATCAGTGATCATCTTCTCCTATGGGTTATTCACAAGATCAACCTCCCTACCCCAAGCGTTTCATTAACGACACCAAGACAATATCGTTAGTAGTAGTAGTGATAATATTAATAGCAATAATCAACCACATACTAGATGGAAAAGAGTACTTGAAGGCTCCTCATCAGCACTATCATACGCTGAGGGCTCCTCCGTCTCCACCCTCAGCACTACTAGAACAGTTACCGGAAATGACCAGCAACAAAAATGGTCGGCCTCTGCATCTCGCCTACCACCGCCCGAGTTGTCATCGGAAACCATTGTAGAGGTTGGGTACCTCGCTCAGCATGCGAGCCCCCACACTAAGACTATCGATGACCACTAGCCCTGGTCAGGTTGAGCTAGTCAAGATAGAGACGAGAACAGTAAATTGTATAACCGGCGTAATAGGCTATGCTGCACCAACCATCGACCAGCTCGGGCTATCATACCTAGGCCACTGTATTACGGGAAATTTCTCACAACCCTGTGAGAAGGAGCACACACCTTCCAATAGATGGCGCGCGACGGAAGGAGTGCCCTTGACACATGCGTTGACGAGAGAAAGCATCGTAGACCTCAACATCAGCGAGGCAGTGATAGTGATAATGTTAACAGCACCGACCGAGACAGATAGCCACGATTCAGCACGTCCAACCAGGAACGGACAGCGACCTGCTATCCATCGTTCTAGTTCAGACCAGCAGTAGTAAGACTAGTGGGAATATGAGACAAAAAAACACGCAAGCAACCTTAAAAGAGAGTCCTCGTCAAATAAGGCACCCACACAGAGCAATGGTACGGTTATGTATTATTATTTAAATAAACGGCTAAGTCGCTATTGAGTAGCAGATGGAGAGGGAGAGGGCACTGACTCAGCGGAGCTGTCCGGTGGAGTCTCACCATCACTACTCTGAGCCATCACGATACGCTTCACACCTTCCGCTACGAACTTCCGAACCTCATGCTCCGACTCGGTAGAGGTCTGGGAATACCAATTTTGAAGCACCACTTGTCGTATTAGACCCAAGTCCATGAATGCCTGATATACCCCAGCAACGTCCTTAGACGGCAGTCGGGCATCATAGATGGCATTAGCGAGAGACTCTATGAGGCGCTTCTGATTGTGGAGCTCCCGGTTGTTAGGGCTGCCAACACCAGTCTCAGTGCCTGTACCACAGACCGTACGTAGGAGGCTTTCTGCGGGCTTCAGCCGAACTGTCCAAGAGTCCTTAGACCATGCCAGACGCAAGTTGGATATTAACGCTAAGATCACCCTTCGCTCAAATAGCGCATTTCTACCACCGAGCAAATCACCCGGAACCTCCTCACTGATCAACCTCATTGCTGCATCAAAATCTTTACTCTTCAATTCAGCGCTGAGCTTGTTGACTATACTCTCGGTCTCATCCTTCAGAAGGCCAATCTCGTCGAGCATCTGGTCAAGGTCCTGGTCATCAGAAGGCTCCAAATGCTTCATCCGTTTCATCAGCGGACGAAGGAAATGCAAACCCTGTTGGACACCGGCGATGCCAGCAAGATGCTTGGCTTGTTCCAACACCTTCACGGCAAGATCAAACGACCGCTCATCGGAAGCAAGGACCTTCCACGAGAGTATCAACTGCGGGTCGAATTCGCTCGGACCGCCTTCCACCGAGTAATCACCAATGAGAAGTAGTGCAAATAGTCGATGATAGAATTCAGGCGCTTTAGGGAAGTCCATAGCGACGTCATCTAGAACCTCGAGGATGCCTCGCAAAACCAGGTCCAAGACCTTGAAAGGGACAATGCCACGCCGGACCAGCTCAACGATGAGCTCAGCATCCTTGAACGCTTTACGTGGATCCTCCGCTCCCCAGTTGATCAGATTCTCAGCCATCTTGGAGGGACAGCTCGGATCGTTCTGGACCATAGTAGTTATGTCGTTGAGAAACGAAGTGAGGTCACCGTCCTCGTGGAAGTAGTCTCTAGAATTCTTGAACTTATCGACCTTGAAAGCTCGTGCTTCCTGTAGCTCTCTCTCCTTAGCCTCCTTCTGCTCCTTCTTCTCAATGGCAAGTTCATCCATCTTCCGTCGGGCCTCATCGAGCTTAGCCTGCCGCTTAGTGTCCTCTTGGCCCTGTAGCGTAACGGACTTCACCGCTTTCTTGCTTCTACCACCAACAGGATTGCCCTGTCGGTCCACCCAGCCTCGACTCCTGTTATCGATGAGATCCTGGATCATGAACTTGAGCCTACTAGGGTAGTCCAACCTCTTAATGTCCCTCAGACGACTGAGGAATCTAGTGCACATCTCGCGACCACGTTCATAGTGATCTAGAGTTGACCCGATGTTCAGCAATAGAATGCAAACACATTCAATGTAGTGCTCCTCAGGCTCATCCGACCGGAAAATGAGTTGACCAACGACCTCCTTGATAACCTTGGCACTCAGTAGTTGACGTAGGAAGAGTTGCCCAATAAACTTCATGTTGCCCAGGATACGTTCCTTCTTCTTGGAGCGGATGACCTCCAACTCTTGGGCATCACCGTTGGCCTTGGCCTCCTCCTCCGGTGTCGGAGCTAGATCCACTGGCAAGGCCTCGAACTCCTCTTGGCATTTAGTGATAAGAGCTCTTGTGAAAGTCATGGGTGTGTTGACGTCATCACCCTCGAACTCTGGCAGCACCCGTCGGAGTTGCATACACATATCGGAATAGATCTCGCAGTAGTAGCTCTCCTGAATGGCCTTGTCGAAGATGGTCCGTACCACTAACTCGAGCTTCCAACCCTCATCAATCTGAAAAAGAAGCGTGATAGTAGAGCATTAGAGGACGCGCAGCTTGACTCACCCCTAACTCTGCCAGGCTAGCAGTGACCTGCATGAAGTTCTCAGCGGTGATACGGTTGAGGTTGGACATAACCAGACGATGAAGCTTCTCTTGAGGGGATACATCCTCAAGCTTCGCTGCCACCTTATAACCATGCTCAGTGACCTTCAGTGGGGCTACTGGAGCGTTGAACCGCTTGTACTGTTGTCGACTCTGTTGACGATTATACTTATCTCGCATGGCTTGAGGACCGAGCATGTCCTTCCGCCAGTCAGCGGTGCCCATGTGCTGATGACCACCACCCTGTTGTCGTTGGGCCATCATGCCCTTACTAGTCTGCCGTCTTAGACCACCAGCAGAGCCACCACCGGGTTGCCGTACTTGACTTGTGCTAGCGACAGATAGGGTGACCAGTGGCTCCGGAGGGGTTTCTTCAGCGAAGTTGATCGGACGTGCACCACCACGGAAGGCCTCAGTTGCAGGGGCCACAAGGAACATACGGAGGAGGTCGCTACGTGAAAGAGGGCCATCGTAAGGTAGAGGCTCCAGAATCGGCCCCTGAGAATAGCAGCCATTATATTGCTCAACAATCATGATATATATAGCCCTACCTCACTGGACCCAGCCGATGGAGTTTCTCCCCCCTCAGTGCCCTCAGCCTCCTCATGGACCTCAGCAGCTCTCACTGCCTCGCTCTCTGACGAGCTCGTCTCCTTCCAACTGTCCTTCTCCTTGGAGGCATGCCCTGCCTCAGAAGAGGTCACGACTGCCGGCTCAGGAAGAACCGGCTGCTGCTGCTGTAGATCCACTGGTGCGGTAAGCTGCTGTGGAGCTACGACTGGACTGGGATGAACAGCCGAGCGCTCAATCGGGATATTCCTGATAGAAAACAAAAGCGATGGAAGATAGGCGATCACGTGCAAGGCTTACTTGAATCCACGCTTCTTGGCGATGGACACCACCGGAGAGGGCGACACTGCAATAGCCGGCTTGATCGGAGCCACGGGAGTTTCTAAGGCAGCCTCCGGTTTACCCTCGTCGACTGCCTCCGTTGTTGCCGCCTCCTGAACCGGCTCCACCCGTGGCAGAGGAGCTACAGTGACCTTAGGCTTCCCAATAGCACGGCTGAACAACTTCTTGCGCTCGAGAGTAACAGCTGAAGTTTCCCCAAGATGATTCGGACCTTCCGAGTGAGGCGGTATGGGCACATTAGCCGCCGCAGCGGTACCACTAGTAGGAGCAGTAGAGGCCTCCTCAGCGGGTGAGGTGACAGCTACTGTTGGAGGCTTTTTAGCAATAGCCTTATTGAATGCCAGCTTCCTCCCACCATACAGAGTAGTAGACTTGGTTGCAGACGCTTCAGACGGCGGCGGCGGCGGTGGCGAGCTACTACTCGAATCATGACTTGCCGAGGGCTGCTGTTGTTGTGAGGAAGGCTCCGATGGTACCGATGGTGGTGGGGAAGAGGGCATCTCTCCCTCCTGAGTGGGAGCATACAGCCCTGGCTGGGGGAAGGCAGGTATCATCATGCCAGCACCTCCTTGGACCGGCTGAGGATACATAGGCATTGCCTGTTGTTGCTGCTGCAATGGTACACCATACTGAGGCCCTACATAGGAAGGTGCGCCGTAGGGAGGCATACCACCATAAGGGCCTCCCATAGGATACATAGGGGGAACACCACCAGCTGGAAGGAAGCCGACCTGCTGTTGAAGAGCATGCTCAGAATACTGCTCATCCTCGACCTTCGCCGGCAACTGTTGACGTTGTCCGTCATCGTGCTGAGCGGACACCTCTGAGGATCCCTCCGCTCTCGCGGTAGAAGGCACTGCTGCTTGCTGCTGCTCTTTTGGACGCTTGGAGTCAACCAATGGCGGTTTGGCAGCAGACGGTAGAGGCTTGCGTAAAGCGGCATTCAAGAGCTTCTTCCTGTCATTCACACCACGATAATCATCATGATGGGCCACTGTAGGAGAGGCTGGAGACGTAGGAGGCTGGGCTCGGCTGCCAACGGTTTCAGAGTCCTCGGCTGCATCAGTCGAAGACCCTGCTGCAGCGACACCAGCGGCAACTGCCGCAAAAGATGGTGGCTGGGCACCGGGTTTCTGTCGAGAGACCGGCCTCCCTGTGGTAGCTGCCGTAGTGGGACGAGTTCCACCTGACTTCTCCTCCTCCACGACATCAGAGTGCACACGGGCCGGTCTAGTCGTTGTCGTAGCAGGGACTGCATTGCTCTCGCTATCGCTGCTGTTGACAGGCTTGGATGCTGTAGTAGCAGGTTGGTCGACCAACTTCACTTCCTGACCAGTACTGGGATCTATAATTGTTAATGGTTTCCGAGGGCGACCACCCGGAATCGAAGTTGCTGATCCTTCTCGTCGAGGTGGGCCAGGGAATGGGCGCGCGCCAGGGCCCATAGAGCTTCCGTGACTTGGAGGACCTCCACTAGGTGGATTACCACCACGAGAGGTAATAGATTGTTGAATACTATTATCATTACTATTATCAGTCAAATGTTGCGCTTGTTGTTGTTGAAGATGCGACTCTTCACCACCCAGGATGCCAGAGGCAGTATCACTGGCGTTACCGACAGTCCCAGCACTATGTGGGGGTTGTTGCTGTTGAGGACCACTACCAGGCAGAGGCATCGGTGGTGCCGACATGGGACCACCGGAATCCATAGGAGTACCATATGGCGGAGCCCCAGCATACATACCACCACCAGGATACCCACCCTGGGGATATTGCGACTGTGATGGTGGAGGAGGGGCCATCATAGCCGCTTGCATAGCATATTCCTGTGGCGGCATCCCATAAGGAGCTCCTGGCATCGGAACATAGTAGGCAGGAGGGGCCATACCAGGGACCATCTGATAACCGTAACCAGTGGGCATCATCGATGCTGGGGGAGGCTGAGATGTCGGCCCGCCGTACGCCATATAAGGGGGCATCACAAAGCCATACGCCTGAAAGAAAAGACCGCTTAACGCGCCGCAAGAGTATTCGCTCTTTTAGACATCGTCGCATCGAAGTTGAAGATCGGCAAAGTCTTATCGTGTATTTTTTGAAATTTCGAGCACTGTGACGAGTCGTAAAATTCCATGGATTTTCTGAAACCTTCTACCATAACTACTACCTGATGGACGAACTGTTGAGGAACTCCCATTTCCTCCATCGTATAACCACCAGGCGGAGTATAATAGCCACCTTGTGGCTGCTGCTGCTGCTGTTGTTGATAAGTAAAATGAGGGGGAGGTGGGGGCGGTTGTTGCTGCATGCCGTGGTTCATAGATGCAGCACCACCCTTACCCTTCCCTTTACCAGGCCCATTAGGGCCCCATGAACCGCGATTGTTGCTATTGCTGGCCGGTCCTGTTCCACCACCCATATTGTTAGAAGATGATTGCTGTTGTTGTTGCTGATTAAAGCTTGTATTTGCTTTTGTAGACATGGCACCCCAACTGGGCAAGATCTAGACTCGTCAGTGACCGAAGTTGAGTTCTTTTCGGCGGGACGACGACTCAAAATCAAGCCCTGAAAACATCAGCATTATTATCATCCGATCGCCACCGTCTCCCATCGTAAGATCCTCGAAAGAAACGTGAGACACGTGCTATCGACGTGGGCATTTTCCTACTAGCGAGTACGATCAGTTGCGATAAATTCCGCCCGACCCCAGCAGCCAAATCTGAGACCTCCGCAGAAATTGTTATCCAATGCGTCCAGCGACCAGTCCAGACACGTCGGGGTACTAATGAACTACCATCTTATGCAATCTCGCAAGTGCACGTTTACAACCGAACCGGCTTGAGGAACAAAGGCTCCCGAATTCATTCATCGATTTTATGGGCGCGCGCGATTAACGGATCATTTTGCCACTTAAGGCAACTGACACAAGGCGCAGGGCCTTTTTCATGAGAGTAACAAACGCAAATGACTCTCTAAGTAGCCTTGAGTAATCCCGGCATACTTTTCCACTGCTCAAGTAAACACTTCAAGGGCCTTGAATCAAGGCGCCCTAAGTTGAGTTGCTCCGTAACATTGAGAAATTAGTCGAAGTACTTCTTAGGTATACCTCAGTAACTCCTAAGTACCTAAGCTGCTCCTAAACTTAGAGCGCCTTGAATTAAGTATCCTTGTGAATCAGGCCTATAGCTGTCATTGACAGCCTGTCAAGCTATATCGTCAGCCAAGTATATACGCTTGATCCAAAATGATTACGATACTTTGCGTGAAGAATTATCCAAGAATGAGCAATCCATAGTAGTAACGACTTGAGATTACTGAGCCTATGTGTAACACATAATGTGTTGTCTGTTGCCAAGTAGGTTTTCGTGGCGAAGGTGCGGAGCTCGCTTAGTCCTTTTTAGTAGTGAAAATGATAGCTGCGCAAGTAGGATGCTCAGAATTGATTTGTATTTGAGTTCGCCACTGGCGGTCGGAGGTTTTATTTCTCATCATGGTCTCTTGGTCACATATGAATATCTACACCTTTTCCCGTGCAAGTTTGACAAGTGAGCAGGCAAGGATGGCAGTGTTAAAAACAAGATTGACAATGAAAATTCAGGTGTCACAATTCAATCATGTTACAATCAAGATTAACAATGAAAATCCAAGTTTGTCGCAATTTAACTATGTCACTTGGAGATCGACGATGACAATCCAAGTTCGTCACAATTCAATCATGTTACAATCGAGATGGACAATGAGAATTCAAACTTGTCAGTTCCCCATTTTATTACAACCAAGATTGACAGTGAGAATTCATGTTCGACACTATCAGATTATGACAATGCAGATTGACAATATACCACAACTTTGACATTAAGCGCGCAAACTCGACAATACGCATCTAAGCTTGACACTGCAAACCCAACACCTTGAGATCTGGCATACACTGATTGTCGGCCTTCAAATACTCACACACATTACATCGTAACATGGACTTCGAATTAATCAGGGCCCTACGTTGATTTGGAGTGACAAAAATCTGTGGTTCAGCCGCTGTGGTTCCGTCCAATGTAGTCCACACCCTGTTCCACATGAGTTCGATGACTTGAAGAGGAATATCACTACAGTAAATACCAGGAGGCGCGGCAATCTAAAATTGCCAATCTCTTCACAGGAAGAATTGCAGGACTCTGCAAAACGGCTAGGGGAAGCTTCCAGGCCGCAACCATTCATCGCGGAGAGTCTCAGTTACACATCACATTGTTTTTGCAAATGTGCATCTCAGAACCGGAATCTTGAATTTGCTAACCATGGGGCTAGGCTTCTTGGATAGAAATACGAGGGGAGATGCAGTGAACCTTGCATTTCTCATACCTTCGTTCTTCAGGTTTCACAATCACACAAGGACCTTAAGGCTCCGCTCGAGAAGTCGCCGAGCTGGGGCGAGATACCCGTCGCTTACTCACTTTAGGAGGCAAAAGCTGCGAAAAGAGCACCATGGCCGGAGCGGATCTCACTTCAACTAGTGCGGCAATGCGATCCACTCTGCCTGTCAATGTTCAGAACAATACGCAATAGTATTGGAACTATTGGGCATGCAGTAATTTGTGACTTTCCAGCGCCCTGGTCTTCGGACCCCGGTGTGTTGAGTTATCATAGTACACTGAATTTGAGAGCAGTCTTCTCCTAATGCTCATAGTAGGAGCATCCATAGTCCGTTCGCCAGGCTTCGAAGCATGTTCCCTTGTTTAATAGATGCCTGCAGGAATATGCAGTGGATGGTTCATAGTGAATTTGTTGATATACAAATACACAACAATATTGGCAAAGTAGTTTTCTAACGACAGTTTGGCCGAGCGGTCCAAGGCGTCAGCTTCAGGCGCTGGTCCGAAAGGGCGCGGGTTCGAATCCCGCAGCTGTTATTTTTTTTGTCTTCTTTGACGCGTAGTATACTCTGCTCGTACTATCAAACCTTTGCGGATGAAACGAGCTCACGAAGTCCCTGATAGCAGCAAGGTCTTCGGGCCGCAGCTCCTATCAATGTATGACGGTGAAACAACTGGAGAAGTGTATGTGGCATTGAAAGGGATCGTTTATGATGTGACACGTAAGTTTAAAGCTTGGTCCGCAATTCGAATGAAAATCGACGACGCATTGGAAAATTCCTCTCTGAAGATTCTCACATGTCGACATGTTGATATCACATGTCGGGGCGCTCGGAGCGCCGCGCTCCCACGCGCTCAATTTCTTAATAAAGAATCTTTCTTGTGTAGACCGACGAGACCTCTACGGCCCCGGTGGTAGATACCACCTATTTGCGGGGAAAGATGTCACGAGAGCTTTCGCTCTGATGAGTTTTAAACCTGAAGACATCGAAAACTCGAGGAGTACTGAGGGGTTTGAAGATGCTAACTGGCAGGCACTACAGGTGAAATTGATGCTCGTGAGTAGACTCTCTCATCCGCTCGCGAGCTCCACTTGTGTATAAACTGCTGTTCAGGAATGGGTTGACAAGTATGAGAGGTACGACAAAGTGGGAGTACTCCTCTATCCTGACGAAAGAAACTCGGAAGGGTCACTTGACCAAATCGCCGGAGTTTCCACAGAAACCCAATGTGACGTAGATGCAGAAGACTCAGCAGAAACGATTGGGACGGCTCAACCAGTGCTCTCTGGTACTGTTCGGAAAACGTTGAAAATCCACAGGCGGAAAGTGGGGCACGTTGAGACCTCGGCGGCTGAGAACGCGCGGAGAGCCTTGCAAGAGACAGGTAGCATCTTCTACCAGTCCTCCGATCTGCTACGCTTACTCTATAATGGCCATGCAGTCGCCAAAGACTAGTGGAACGCTAGCGCATAATCGTGACTCGCGATTCGTGAGAAGCAGGGAGTGTTTGTAGGTATTTCGGAGGGAGGGATGCTGTGGCCAGGCAGCGAAGCTAAGGACTCTGGAAATGAGTGAACAGATATTTTCATGTGATCTTTGAGCCATCCATTTTTACTGATCGCCCACTTACAGTGGTATTGCGTCAGAGGCTGCATCGAAGCTGCCTTCCGGTTGGTAGTGCGTATTTGGTAGGGATTTGCATCTTCATAGCAGCCTTCAGAAGGCCAGACATGCCACAAGTATTACTGCTTTGCCCGAGTCTGCCAATTTCAAAATAGCGCGTGACGCTACAAGCTTAAAACAGTAGTAGAGCATATCAGGCGCTTCCGTACGGTCGACTTAGTATACGGACTCAATAGACTTGGTACTGTTGGGGGAGGGTGTCAATGTAATCAAGCCTTCTGGATGGATGCTATAGCGGGACTACGATGCTGACTGGATGTGATGGTGTGAACGCATAAAGCTCTATGCCTTATGAAGGCCTGTCGGTGTAAGTGAGAGCAATTTTCGGCCGGGGCGGCTATGCCACCGCCCTAAGATATATCTCAGTGCGATCAATTCCTCAATTGGTGAGAAAAATTTTGTCGGCCGGGGCGGCTATGCCGACGCTTCGAAATATTCATGAGTACGATTAATTCCTCTGTTGGTGAGATCAATTTTGTCGGGCGGAACGGCTGTGCCAGCGCTCCAGTATATGTCTTAGTACAATGAATCTCGCTGTTAGTGAGATCAATTTTTTTATGGCGGGGCGGCTATGCCACCGCTCCAATATATGCCTTAGTACAATGAATCTCGCTGTTAGTGAGGTCATTTTCTCGGGCGTGGTGGCTATGCCAACGCTCCAAGTGCAATTAATTTGGCAGGCGCATGAGATAGGAAAATCAATTCTGACGGCATGATCGAAATAACTCCAATGATTATGAACTGTGTCAGTTTAATTGCTACTATGGCCGATTCAACTCGAGGGGCAGATATGCCATCGCTGAAGCCATAGTAGCTCTCATCTCTCTAGTAATCACCTTAGATTGCCATGATCGAATAGGAACGCCCTCGCGCACCTTTAAATCAACAACAGAGAATCCTTAGAAGCTTAGTGAGCGAGTCGCAGAACTTCTACGCGGGAAGAGGCGTTGATATGAGCCGGGAGACGACGCAGTCCTTAACGCCATCGCCACGTTGAAATCCATCAGAGCCGATTATGTACTAACTGTACTATTTTGGGCCGAGAAGCAGTCTAACAATATGGCTAATTGGACGCCACAGGACGAGAGCGATACACTAGCAGCCGGACTGTTCTTCATAGGTTCGCGAGTTGACGTTTCTGGTGATGCTAAAATTTCATGATTGGCTGCGGAGTTTGGTTAGACTTAGTTATTACGAATGACGCGTTATTGACTGGATCAAGCAAGCGACTGACAATTTGTATGTAATAAACACACAAGAGCTACTGCTGTGTGAGCGTAGAAGGCATTAAGCATATAGCAATATAATCAACTCCCACTTCCCCGTCCTAGGGCTCCTGCGTAGGCTCTAGCGTCCTGAATCAATTGGAAATCGCCTACCATTGATGTCACTGATGCGCGGCCAGCCAGTTCAAATATGAATCGTCTCACTTAAAAGATGCGTGCGGGCTCATCGTGTTCATAGCGTTCATTCATTCGGACATGAATTATGTGATAAACTATAAGCCTCGAGCGCTGGTGATGCTCAACTCAAGCGCCGATCACGTTGATAGCTCCCAAGTCCGCAGCCGCAGAGCGCACGTACGGCGGCCACAGGCTGACGGATGAGAGTATTATTGACGGCACTGTACGACAACACCATAATAAGTGTGAGAGAGGTTCTCCCGTAGATGAGGAGAGTATTTTTACAGATAAATGATATCACGCTCTGTCGTCCATCACTCCCCATCAAAATGACAGAAACTGTACAATTTCGAGCCTAGACCCATCGAGAGGTATGAAGCTCTTCTTAACATACAAGCAGCAGCACTACATCTAGTTAGCTGCCTTAGCCTTGGGGAGGCGGGTACCGAGAATTCTGTTGAGCTTGCTGATGATGGCTCCGTTAGGTATCGCCTTACCAGACTCGTACCTATGTGGCGAAATGAAGATAGACGAGATCAACGGGATCAATCTTACTCATTAATGACGGTGGGCTTCTCATTGATTGCCTTGGCAAGGTCAGCCTGGCTCATCTTCTTAGCCAGCCTTGCTTGCTGGAGGGCATGTCGGAACTCAGTGCTGATGTGGGGGTGCTTGTACACCTATATAATGGTACAGTAGTGGACCAGAAGGGCATGCTGCATTTCACTGTCCTACAGCGTTGTCCTGATCAAGCTTGGCAGCGTTGGCGGGAAGTCCCTCTTTGGTACTCATGTTCTGTCCGCCACGCCACTTCGCAGTCACTTCAACGTCTTGACCAGTCCTGAACCAAACGACCATCACAAGCCTGCCTCGAATTGAGATTGCTTACCTCCTGGCGTCGTTAACTGCAGTCCTGCTAGCAGGGTTCTTCGGCCGACCCTTGTTGAGAACCACAGGGTTCCAATCCTGCGACACGTCAGCTGCCATGCGAACCATTTTATTTAAATATAAAGCCAATGATCGACTGGTACAGACAATGTTGGAGCTGAGGTGAATACCGGATGGTTACGTGCTTATATGAGCTAACCATTTGTTTTAGCGCGCGCCATGTTGAGATCAACGTAGCACGGGCAACCCAAAGATCCCCGGATCAATTCCCGGCAGCTTCAATTTTCGGTTTGGATGCAGTAATATAATGTCGGATAGAGTACGTTTTCCATTTTACGTACTCTAGCTTCAACCTTGTTTGGTCGGCCCTGAGAATCGCCAGTTAGCCTTGAGCAAGACTCTTGAGTTCGAGTCTTCATTTCGTGTGTTCGAAGACCAACGATAAAGCTAGCACTGGACAAGATTTACACTGCTCTTTCACTCACCAGCTGCTTTAATTTGACCTCAGACACATTTCATGTTCCTCTGGCATTAACAAGGATCAGAGTGTTGTGTTCGGCGAGGGTGTGATATTCCACTTGAGGAGGATTTTCTCTCTTTTTATTCTCATCCCCCGTTTGAGGAGTATCGAGCATGGGGAATATACCAGGAGGAATGGGCGGCCCTGGAGGACCAGGTGGCGGCGATAAGAAAAAACAGGATAAGTCTAAAAAGAAGGGACCCGCCCCTCCACCAGCGCACTTCGGCAGGAGAAAGAAGCGCTTTAATAAGGGTAGTTAGAGATATTCTGGGTTGACTCAGGATGCAAGCATATTGCCATGTTCGTCAGGACCACCGGGCATGTCAAAAATACCAACAGTAGTTCCCACTAGCAAATGCAGATTGCGAATGCTCAAACTTGATAGGATCAAGGTGACTTCATTCGCCGCGTTTTAGTCGTGAAATGGCTCGATGGTTTCAGGACTACCTGCTCATGGAGGAAGAGTTCATCAACCGACAGGAGGCTATGAAGGTTGGTGGAGAGGACAGGACTGAGGAGGAGAGGAACAAGGTACTGGTGAAGGCCCAGGTTCGAACCCAGCATCTGTTGCAACTTTTCCTCACAGGTTGACGAGATTCGGGGAAAACCAATCAGTGTTGGTAACCTGGAGGAGCTCATAGATGACAGCCATGCTATTGTGTCTACCTCCAATGGTCCTGAGTAGGACAGTGGTCTTTGTTTTCATGTTCATTTCTGCTGCCTAGGTTTTATGTAAACATTCTCTCTATCGTCGACCAAGATCAGCTCGAGCCCGGCAGCTCAGTTCTCCTCCATAACAAAGTACGGCCATTGACCTAGGAAGCCAACACTACTTTCATTTTCTAACAGTCCATGTCCATCGTGGGTATACTAGCAGATGATGTTGATCCATTGGTCAGCGTTATGAAGGTCGACAAGGTAATACTCTCGGGAGGTCTCTAGATGTGTTTTAGCTCAACGGTGGGTATGCTTGTGAAAAACGGTGAACCTGTTGCTCGACGCTCATCAAGGGAAGAAAAATTAGTGACAGTTACGGTGCAGTCGAGTGGCCTAATCATTTCGTTTTCTCGTGACCGTGCCTGTCGCGCCTTAGGCACCTCTCGAGTCTTACAGCGACATTGGTGGTCTAGAGCAGCAGATTCAGGAAATAAAGGAGGCCGTAGAGCTCCCCCTCACTCATCCGGAGCTGTACGAGGATATTGGTATCAAGCCTCCGAAGGGTAGTCCTGGTCGTTGGTCGTACTTAAATCTCACCTAGCTGCCTCAAGGTGTCATTCTATATGGCGCACCTGGCACTGGCAAGACATTACTGGCCAAGGCGGTTGCGAACGAGACTAGCGCCACTTTCCTTAGGGTTGTGGGCTCTGAGCTCATCCAGAAGTACGTGGCGGTCGGCTAGTTGCCGAGAGCTGGAGAGTCGTACGTAGGTATCTTGGTGATGGCCCCAAGTTGGTTCGGGAAATGTTCCGAGTGGCAAATGAGCAAGCTCCATCGATTGTTTTCATAGATGAAATCGATGCCGTTGGAACGAAACGGTAGTGGCGGCAATGGGTCTTTACGGGCTTTTTAAGCGACTGGCTACAGGTACGATACGACATCGGGAGGGGAGAGGGAGATTCAGAGTGAGTGGAGATCCTCCTAGCTGACCATTTTGATTATCGCCTTTAGGGACGATGCTCGAGTTACTCAACCAACTCGATGGTTTCGATCAATCGGCGGATGTGAAGGTCATCCTTGCCACCAACAAAATCGAAAGCCTTGATCCTGCTCTCTTGAGGCCTGGTAACTCCACCTCAGCTTGCTGACGATACTTTGCGGCCACTCTGGCATCTCACAGGTCGAATTGATCGTAAAATTGAATTCCCCTTGCCGGATATCAACACCAAGAGGCGCATCTTCCAAATCCACACTTCTAAGATGACTCTAGCGGATGATGTAGATCTGGAAGAGTTTGTTCACAGCAAGGTGAGCTCGAGGCATTACATTTATGATCTGCATTGTGGTTTCTCAGGATGATCTCAGTGGAGCCGATATCAAGGCCATTTGTACGGGCAGTTGAATCGAGGGTTTGAGTTATTCTAACTTTGGTAGGTACTGAAGCGGGTATGTTGGCGTTGCGTGAACGACGCATGCGTGTGACAGCTGAGGATTTGAGGAAGGCACGAGAGAAGGCGCTGTATCGCAAGAAGGGGAACATTCCTGAGGGAATGTATTTGTAATATCCCCGTGATAGGATTGAGATACTTATTGTGTTTCTTACCGAACACCAAGATGGCACTGCTGTGTTTCCAAGTGAAAGAGTTCGAGTGAACCGCGTCAATATTGAATTGAGACATAAAGCACCGTATGGACTAACACAAGGTCGGCTTTGGTGGGACATCTGATGAATACCATAACTTGTAAGATTCTCCATGGGTCTTCGTTTGAGACTCTCAAACGACTTCAATAGACACAACTCTCGTACGTGGGTATCATGTACTTGATGTTAACGAATGCATCTTCACCTCCAGTCAACTCCAGCACGTTCAGTGTTTCTTCGATGAGAGTTCCTAGCAACAAGGTGGGACAGAGGTCTGCTGAGGGTATACCGTACCAAGATTCCGCCAATCTTCCTTCCGCTGGGCGTAGTCTATCACATTCCACGTGTTCCGCTTCTTGGGTTTGAAGATACTCATAATTGGCAGAAGATGCCGGTAGTACGGCACTAAGGCTTCGCCAACCATAGGAGAGGTTTTAGCCAACAGCTGTAGCACGTGTAGAGTGTTCACCTGCTCAGCTGTGATATAGGCATTGTTAGCGTCGATGCCCCTAGGCCCTACCACAGTCTCTGGGTCCCTTGTATTCAAAGCCTGTCTTAGCGGCACCACCAACTGTGGGACTGCTGATAGTATCTTAGCCTCATTTCCTTCCTTGATCAGGGTTAGACAAGCCTCACGGGCCATGAATCGGTATCTAAATCGCGATGTGACCTATTGTGTGATCTTTTTCCATCTTACGGTTCACTCTTTTCTCTCGTACCGTCGACGAACACGGGCAGAAAGTGCTGATAGTCAAGTTTTGATGGAGACACTCTCCACTCAAGATAACATTTGGCTCCTGATATGGACAGTATAACACAAAATCCTACAGCCTTCTTAGCTTAGTTGGTAGAGCACCCGCTTAGTAAGCGGGAGGTCGTCGGTTCAACTCCGGCAGAAGGCTCATTTGACCATCCGACAAAATTTTTCAACTTACCGTGCTTTATGACAAAAGGCATATCTCCTCTTTCATACATCCTTTTGAATTGCGTCGCGGGATGTTCACTCGAATCAAAGATTCGGCTTTTCTTCTCTAATCTCAAATCCCGTCGCCAACGGGTACTGCCCGCTCTCGGTGGACCAGGACCCCATGTCGTGAATCTAAGTCGTCAGAATATGTCTCCCGAGAGTGGCAGATCAAATCAGTTGAATCATATTTTATCCTAGCAGTCGTATTTGAGCAACAGAAGAAGCGTGATATTCGCTGACATACCTGGTCTTCCCCAAACATACAGCAGGGCCATTCTGTTCAGAGAGAGTATGGAAAAAGTCCAGACCAAGCTCCCGAGCAGATACACCTAGATTTTGATGACTTACTTATGGAGCTGAGAGCACTGCTGTCCTACTTTTCCCTAGGTTGCGTCGGCGTGCCTCTCCACTGTGACCCTTCCCAACAACAGCTAATGATGCGCTGGCCCTGAGGGGTCTGGGGATTGGATCAGTTTGCAGAGCCCTCCTTGACTTCTCCACTGCCGCTAGGGATGAGGTATGCATTAATCTGGTACTCGATAGACAACTACTCGGCGAGAATTACAGCTGAATTCTCAAATTTCAACGGCTAGTTTGTTGAACCCGAACACTTGGCGTGAACACATACAACGGCTATTGCATGCTCTCTGATCGGTACAGCTTCGTATTGAATGAGCCAACATTGTTGCCATAAAAACTCCTGCTATGGCCGTAGTACCACATGTTGAGATCGTCCTTAATCGTACAGTGACCTACGAAACGGCAAGTGTAAAGAGCACCGAACGCGATTGGATGATCTTCTCTTTGATATCGGATCCACAAGGTGAAGAGATTCGCAACGCTGCAAGAGTTTGGGAAGAAGAGATTGAATCGCAAATGCGACCCTTCTGGTGTTATTTTCCCTGGTAGTCGCGCTGCTTACCAGTCATGTTCCTAGCCAAGGCACCCGCCTTACGATAGTCCCTGGCAGGACCCTCAAACTCCTGGCAGGGATGGTGGAGGATATGTTGACCTTTCACTGAGTAAGGGAAACACTCGTGGTACTGCGGAAGAGTCTCGCCCTTGTTTTCAGGGTACCTGCCGGTCCGGCTATACCCCATTTACACGTTATAACCCCTACTCGCCCCGTGGGTTTCGGCCTCTTAGCGAGCTACGGGCCCAGCATCCTCCCCCTGCGTTGAAAGTCCCCAACGTAGCGTCTTCAACCTGAACATATGACATTCCGATGGCCAGATCGATACGCCCTACCCCTAGCACACGTTGCCGCGTATCGAAGGGCGGAAGAGTTCGATCCACAGATTGAGGAGGAGACGAGCTCATCAAATGAGGGGAGGCGGAAATTTACACGCTGATCAATTCAACCAAGCCGTCTATTTCGCGTTGAGGAAGTCTAAGAACGCAAGATTTTCCAATGTGGAACGAAGCTGTTGTAAATGTGACTGGTCCTTCTATGGTTAACGGTAGCAGTAGCAGTACCCAACAGGACTATAAGGTGTGGGCCAGCCTGTTGGGTGGGTCCTGTGGCAGCGCGACGGCGAAGACGGCGACGGCCCCATTGTCGAGGTTGACCATACTCTACCAGGTGGGAGGGCCCCGGGGGGTTGTTGTGAATGGGGCCTTAGGTGAGCTCAATGGGGGCCTCTAAGACGGTGCACTCCCAGGATTCGATATATAGGACCATGAAAAATATATTGGAGAAAGAGGGAATTACGAGCATGTGGCGAGGTACTGAAAGAGGGATGGTCCTTTAGTGGACATGATCCGTATCTTCCATGAACCAACCTAAGATATCCGGCTTGGGCTCCTAGGTAACCTCGTATCGGTGATCCACAAGTTCCCATATGGCGCCATAAATTACTACGTTTACGAGAAAGCAAAGATTCTGATGCGGCCGTACTGGTCGTCGCCGACCGACCCAGGGATATCATGCCGGTTCCTTGCCGGATTTATGGGAGGCTGCGCTGCCAACGTGAATAGCTCATACCAAAATTTGCACGAATCCTCTCCTTTCCAGGTCGCTACCTATCCGTTGGATTTGGTCAGAACTCGTTTAGCGACCAATGACACTCTCCGAAATTGGGGTATCATACCAACACTTCGCGAAATCGCGCGGACGGAAGGCCTGAGCTCCCTTTTCAAAGGCCTGGGAGTAACAATATGGTGCCAAGGGCTGAACATAGCACTTAATTTCGCCATATACGAAACTCTCCAGGTAGCGCAGGAGTTTCTCAATTCTAAATGGAATTGTGATAAATTCAGGTGAAGGCGATCGAGATAGAGAAATGGGTATTCAGGCAGGTGCTCGGCATGAGCTCATTCAATGCCCTTGAGAAGCAGAGGGGCACTTGGTTGTCGAGTCTCCTTTGCGGGGCAATGGCGGGTAGGCGTGCTGGCCCTTTGGGTCTCCCCCGGACCGTGATGGGCTTCTCCTCTAGGCTCAACAGCTTCTATGATCATTTTCCCTCTGGACCTCATACGTCGCCGCCAACAGATGTGCGTGGGAGTGGCTGCGCCCAGTTTTTTGACAGTCGCCCGGCAAATTGTGAAAGCGGAATCCATTCGGGGACTCTATCGCGGCTTGGTAAGTGGGGGGAAGTAACCACGCTGTTATTGATGATATTCTTCCAAGATTCCCGAGCTAATTAAAGTAATCCCGGCAGTCGGCATCAACTTTTACGTCTACGAGTTGGTTCGCCAGGAGGTTTTAGGGGTAGAGATAAGCCCGCGGTAGCGTGGCAAGGCGGGCAGTGACATTTTCCGTATGATAGTTTGATAATTATGTCCTAGATGTGAGAAGTTGAATGCAGTTTAAACAATGCGTTTCAGTGTCGAGAGTCTCTGTGGAGTTGATAGTAACGTTACTCTCATTAGCGTTGATGTTCCCATCACTGTAGGGTCAGCCTCGACCGATGTCCGCTTCCTCTCCTTCCTCGCCTAGTCAAGCACTGGGATGCAATGCAGATGTAGTGCCTCCACTGCCCTCCAGGGACGGGGGGAGCAAACGGAAGGCTGGTGTGGGGGTTATGGATAGACTAGAGGGGGGCTCGTCGAAGCGACAGGCGACAGGATACGACGACGACGACGACCAGCAGGGGAGGAAGGATGAGGTGATCGTCGCCAGGCTCTGCTCAGTGTTGGAATATAAGATATGTGTAACGGTCAATAATACGACCGTTTCACTTCAGTGTATGGTAGGTCATCTCTATATCTGAGCCTTGTTGAAGTTTCAGCCTGAAACACTATTTGTTAGCGTGAACTGCTAACTTTATGATTTTGCCTGAGAGAAAAATACGCTCCCTATGTTTGGTTTCCTCAGCTGAGCTCAGGAGCTTCCTCACTAAGTGTAGGAGTTCATATACGAATTTGGGTAGAAGTGTACAGAAATGAATATCTATTTCCCAATATTCCCTTTGAATTTTCGTATTGTCACCAACACATGTAGTTGACCATATGCATACTTCTCCCACTGGTTCGACTAGGGTGACATGTGCGACTTTCAGTGTCCTCACGATCTGGTCTGGCAAGGAATGTGTGCTACTTGCTGTGCCATAGTGGATAGTGCTGAGCTAGGGAAGGGAGATGCCGGGCCGGGTCATAACGCTGGGTCGTCGTCTGGAGTCAATGCTTGGAAGGAAGACCCCCTCTCGCTGGAGGACGATGACCTTTCTGCTGATGATGACGATAGTGAAGGGCCTCAAGAGGAGTCCGTCGTTGATAGTGATGAGGGTAGACTTCTTATCCCACCTGGTAGCAGCTGATGCCTTCTTGTATTAGAGCGACGGGCGGCCCTCGAGAAAGGCGGCTACTATGCTACAGAATTCCTCAGTGGTGACGCTGGTATCAGAGTGTCCGCTGTAAGCCTGCGGTGTCCCCCTGTAGTGGGCAATATCCCATCAGGCTTTCGCTGCGTCATTGGAGTCGTCTACGATACGTACATTAGCATCCTCTAAAAGGCTAGTAGCTGTTCTTGACATTGACCATACCATCCTACATGTCACCAACAAGAGGATCGACCTCCTTTTCCCGGGTCCGTAGACTACGCCAGGGAATGCCCCATGTAATCGTGTGTTAGATGTAACCTGCTATAATCTAGCGCCCAATAGGGATACGGGCAGGCTTGACGAGGAAAAGGTAGTTGGCGATCTCGATAGGGTCGTTTGTCAGACCCCGAGGTGCCCTAGGTGTATCAGTTCTTCATCGGGACCAGCCCTACGACAACGGCGTGCTGCTATCTTAAGCTTAGACCCGGGTTGTAATAGAGCGCACCTTCATCTCCCATGCGAGGGGCTCACTTGTAGTTACACATTCCTGGAAGAAATACTCCCGTTGTATGAGCTCTATCTCTATACACACGGCACCAGGGAGTACGCGATCCGACTCCTCAAGGCCCTTGACCCCTCCGCACGATACTTTGGCTGTAGGCGACTTGTAGTTACTACCACTGTTGAGCTCATGCTTTTAGCGCCGCCACGGTTGATTGCGCGACCCACTCAGTCAGCCCTAACGTGCAAGGTGGGAAGGCGGGCCTTTGTTGCTGTGCAAGGTCGTTGGTCGCTCAGACTCTGTCGAGGATATTCCCGTCGAACCACCGGCTAGCTGTGATTGTGGACGATCGGGACGACGTGTGGGAGGCCAAGGACAACGAGCACAGCCTCATCAAAGTGACCCCTTATGTTTTCTTCCCGGATTCAGAGAGGCTCCGAGTGTCCCTCGAAGGTGAATACCACACCTCTTTCACTTCCTGCGTGACCCCCCTCCCACAGGTCAACTGAACGCCATTATAGCGGCGGGCGCTGGCAAGCGCGCCATGGCCCCCTTGGCCGAGTACCACCACCCAGCGGACGCCAGCAGCTCGGCAGTCCCGACCCCTCCCGAGGAAGGAGCACCACCACGGTACTCATAGCCTCTGGTCACTCAAATGTTAACTCAATTTTTCAGGGATCGAAAGTGGCTCGAAATGGCCGAGTCGGATAGGCAGCTGCACTATGTGACGGAAATGCTGCGAAATATTCATACACGGACTTATGCGGCGGCCCAGCTGGCCACGGGGTACTGGCCTCGAGGTGCTTGAGTTTGACAGTGTCTGTGGTATGTAGTGTCGGCGATGAACTTGATGCCACCAAGTTGGATGTTCGACCCGTCATACCGGCGATCCGGGAGCAAACATTGGAGGTGAGCGGGCTATCTCTGGCGGGCTAGCAGTAGTGTTCTGGTCTTAGGGGCTCAGGGTCGGGCATTCTGGTCTAGTCCCTAGCAACTATTGGGACCCTGCTCAGCATCCTGTCGTACGCTTACTGCATAGACTAGGCGCCACCGTGGTCACTGACATAGCGGGGCCGCGAGCAGGGCTAGACAGCTCGTCACGTAGGAGTATACTCATCAAGATGGTTTTGGTAGTGTACCTCAGGTCCACCTATAGATGTCCTTGTTGCGAGCAATACTGAGACTAGGAAGGCCCAACAGGCAATGGAGATGGGAGTTCCAGTTGTCCATGTGTGGTATTTACTACATGCCCTAGCAACCTGGCAACGACCCAAGGTGGGCACGCTGTGTTAGGCGTTGGGCTCATACCTCTGCCTTAGTTCGGCCCCTTCAAACTGAGTTCTATCGAGGCCACTCCTATGCGTGTCCATTGGCAAGCACCGCAGTTGTATACAAAAGACCCCCACGACAGTGAGGCCGACGCAAGCCCGGCGCGGCAAAGGCCCAACGATCTGCTCACCACTGTGGCAACGGTGGACAGCAGTAGCGAGGAAGGCTTCGTGGGTGGTCTCACTGTAGACGAGGACGACCTGTTGGCGGCATTAGAAGGGGATAGTGATTCTGACGACCAAGGTCAGGGATGATATTTAACCGAGTACTCGTGAAAATAACGTCTCCTATTGAGGGTCTCAGTCGAGTTGTCTACACAGTGAAGGGTCCTTAGGGGCAACGAGGAAGAGACCTGTCACGACATGATAGCAAGGCTGGGGGGTCGAGTTTATTCTTTTCTTTAATGACTAAAGAAAAGAAGCCTCATGAGTCCAAGGACGAGGGTATCGATGGTGTTCAGCAACAGGCGGCCGCCCTTGGCTCGTTGAAGAGTGTGACGACTCGTTTGAAGTTCTCGGACGTGGTATCGGCCCCTGAAGGGTCCTTCATACGGATAACCGACGTAGATGCTCCGACGTGCAGGAGCAGGTGGGCCCGTATCGCTATTGAGGTAAATCTTCGCTGTGCGCAAGATACATCCCTTGTTGTTCTACGAGTACCGCCCTGATAGAAAACGCCTCGTCTAAAGTTAAACTTGAGATTTTCGCTCCAGTGTTGGAGGGGACTTTGGTGATACCCCCGACAGCTAAGGGCGTCGCTAAGGTAGACTGGCGTATGGTCTCGGTCGTTTTCTTTGTGTGCGCAGTGTTGGAATATTTCAGTTGAGCTCAGCTGAGTTCAATGGCTACTGATAATAGAAGCTCGTGTACCGATTCGGGTAGAAGTGAAAAAATCCCTGAAAATTTTCCAAAATTTCCGCAGAATTTTCCGTATTTTCACCGCCACACGTGCTAGCTGACCCTGTGCATCTTTCTGAACGATCGTTGGTAGGTTAGAATGCGTAGTGGTGATGATGGTGACGATATGGAGGTTGAATACGAGAACTCCTTTGAGGAACCCCTGGACGCTAGGACGGCCATAGGCACACACAGAGTGGTCTCAGCAACTGCCACCTACCTACGGGACCATCAGTTGCAGCAGGGCATTGAGGTAGGTGTTGCGGGCCCAGTTTCGGCGACTGGTGTTCTCAGACAATGATAGCGGAGCTTCTAGTGAAGATGCCTGACGATCCATGGGACCACATCGGGGCCTGGGCATCGGCACGACGGAAGGCTGATGCAGAGGGGCCTAGTTGAAATGCCACTATACCTGTATGCATGCCACTATTGATATCAGTTGTACTATAGCTGAGTCGTGTTACTACATAGCTTGGTGGGACATAACTAGCATTCGTACGCTGCCGTAGTTGAGACGTTTTGGCGCGCCCTGTTTGTCAAGGGTCTGCTGCCAGTTTCCGACAGTGCGTAGCATCGAGGGGATTTCGAGTCATGTTGAAGAGACTCACAGGAGCCAAAGGCCCTCCAAGCACAGAGGCCGTACCATCGTCCACAGGGAGCCCTATGGCCCACCTGAGGTGAACTGAAGCCGCTATAATGGTACCTGCAATTGTAACCCAGGTTGCCCATCTCGAGCGTATCGGACAGTACCTCTGCCTTCGGTCCTCCACAAGAGGGGCGGGCTCAAGGTGTGACCAGCAGTATTCCCATCATAGACTTGGACCACGACGAGGACATGGTGGAGGAGGAGACTGCCACTGGCGTCGTCGACCCACAGCGACGTGGCTGGGTGGCCAGTCTGGTGAACATTATTTCTCTACGACGGTCCAGGACTGACGCTACTGCCCTCGGAGGCGATCAGCAGGCTCGAAGGGACCCGCCACGGCCACCGAGCTGTTGGAAATGCACCGTCGACTTCAGTTTTACCAACAGGTCAGTTTGCACGGCAACCTCTACTGTAGATAAGGGCACATCTTCAGGGCCAGGGTGTGCCCGATGTGTGGCCACCAGTTCTGTAAGGCGTGCTTAGCTGAGGCCGCCGCCGAGATGCCACTCATCCCCGCTGACCTGCAAGATAGTGTCATGCGTGCTAACCGTGGGGTCTCGTTGTTGACTCTGCCGGGCAGGCCCTGGTCAGGTCTGTCCGCTGACCCCGACTGGACTACCTTGGAAGATGTACAGCAACTAGAGCATGAGAATAGGGACGACCCAGAGGTGCTCGACCACCCTGTTGATGAGGACGACGATCTTGGATTAGACGTGAGGGCCGAGGGGTTGACCCTCCTAGGTCTATGTGCTATTCCAGACACGGGACTCGGCCACTCGAGAGGAGGTCCGGAAGGGCCTCAACAAGTTGAATGGGACTCTGTGCCATACCTGCCTCAGTGAAGCCGCCAGAGATCTACTGCTAGACCGGGTGAAAGCACGGCAGGAGAGGATACAACTGTACGCCCTATCGGACAGTTGCTGCTACTGGTCGTGGTTCCAGGTACCTCGCCGGTCGACTAACAGCGTTCAAGTCGACTCCAGAGAGCAACGTCGCTATGGTCTACAGACTGGGTGGCAATTTCCTCCAAGCCTTGAGGGCGGCCTCATCAGTCCTCCCGATGGGAGCTTTTGCCAAGTCAGAATCGTCGCGCACTGACCACGTCGACGCCTTGCCCATATTAGGTATATCTCGGGTGCATACTACCTTTTCCGGTATGGCCCTCTGTGCATTTATGGTAGCGACATACTGGAAGCCATAGGCATGCTTTCCAAGCTCACTAGTAGTGCTGGCATTCGCTCGAGATGGACGGCCAACACAGCTGATGTCGCCGCGGCCATGTGAGGAGTCTGTTGAAAGCCGCTATCACTGAAGCAAAAGGTAGATACTACCTCATGGGGGAAGACTACGGCGCTCGAGGGAACGATCCGAGTCTGGAGAGCAAATCTCATCACGGTGGGAGCCCATGGCTTGAGTGTTTTCGAAGGATCATTCTGCCAGGGCTGCCGATTCCGTCGAAAGTGACCTTGGCCGAGGTCGAACTTATGTGCACCCTAGCGGTGCATATACCTGCAGAATTCACCCCAGTGGACGCTCAGAGGCTCCTCCGACTTCAGGTCCTCCTGATGGTCTTGGAACGTCATGGTTAGCCTCTTTCCTAGGGTTGGACTCTGGTACTGGCGGAGCCACACTATGCACGGTATAGGGAGTTTGGTCACACCTTCTATCTGGCATGTAGAGGTGGGGATACCCCAGGGGCTCCGAAAAGGGCAGTGCTTATCCTTCCGGGCACGACCACAATTGGGGACTCCATAACTGACCTCAATGCCTTCCAAGGGACCCTCTACTTGGCTGATGGTACCATGGGACACTGCCATATGGGTAACTACCTAGGCCCATGTCCTGTCCTCCACAGTCTCCTCATCAGGGATGTTGGTCGCCGCGCAGCACCTCGTGAGGGAGGTCGGCAGCTGCCTGGCTCGCCTCCACGCTGAGGGGTTCAGGATTTCCCTGACAGGCCACTCTCTCGGAGCTGGTATCGCCTCTCTGGCATGCATAGTATTACGCCAAGATATCATGCTTGGCTGTGACACACTGACGTGGGCCATCGTGTCCTCTTCTGGGTCCTCCAAGTCTACTTCCTTAGATGTGTCGGGTTCGGTTCCCCAGCGTGCATGGACGATGCGCTTGCCACTGCGGCGGAGAAATATGGGGTGATCTCCGTGGTGAACCGAGACGACATGGTCCCGAGGGCATCAGTGCATAACGCGAGGAGGCTCATCGAGCGACTTGCCGACCCTACTAGTGTGATGCGAACGAGGCAGTACTTGTCCGAGGACGCTGCGGCGTTGAGGGACATCAAACGCATTGCACAGCTCAAGAGACGACGTGACCACGCTCACACAGGGGACGTGGACACCACGATGGTGAGCAACAGCTCGGGGCGTGTTTGGTGGCCGATAAAGAGTCAGGGCGTCGGTGGAGGCCCTGGAGGGGTATCGACGGGATCCCAGCAGTCTGAAGTGGAATATCCCGACCTGAGTCCGCAGTCGAGCACTACTCGGGCATGGTCGGAGGCAGTGACCTCGTTCTTTTCCGGCGTCACAGCAGCAGTGGGTCGCCCGTGGAGATGGGCCGCTGCCCGGGCTGAAGCACAAGTCTTAGGTGAGGATTTCAGAATGGGAAGCAATGGCATTTCGAATGTCAGATGACGCCGTTGAGGGCCTGTCAAGCATACACGATGTCCCTCCCGACATCAGCCAAGTCGAGCCCTTCCACCATACCAGTGAGCTCCGAGTCCCCGGCAAGGTTATCCATATATACCGACGTGATGGCTGTAATCAATGCTCGTATGTCCCGAGAGACTGGTCGGGGCTACAAGGCGTTCAACTACAGCCAGGGATGCTCCATGACCATTTCGGCCGTTCATACTATATGGTAGCCAAGGCCGATGGCTGACCGAGGGATCTATGATACTCAGGCTGTGAAGCAACTCGCTTCACTGGCAAGCACTGATCCCAAACACCGCAGTCGAACACCTTCATGGAAGCCCCAGTCGGCCAGTGCATCGTGCTCATGTTGCGGTTCGGACTTCTTGTGGAACTCCGTTTTGAAATCCGAGGCACATCGATTGCTCTCACGACACAATTGCTACAGCTGCGGCAACGTAAGGTTCTCGCCGCTGGGCAACACGTCTTAATTCTCTGATCTCATGGAGCCATGACATGTGAGTAACCAATGTGTTCTTCAGGCTGTATGTGACGGCTGCAGTAAGAATAGGATCAGTATGCTCATGTCTCCCGAAACTGCCCGTTGCTGTGACCGGTGTTGGTTACATCCATCGACTCCCACTACTTGAGGGTCTGTCACGCACAGTTAACTCCCTCATGCAATTCTTCGTGTTTTCGATTCACCATTGCTCTACACCGTCCGTTGCGTTTCTCCTCCGAGTGGTCTGTCCATATTGTGGGTTTGCCGCCATTGCAACTTGCCGGAAACGAATGAAATGCTTGACCGTGATTCAATAAAAGCGGCGCCATGTTGCGCATAGCGTAGGAAGAGTCCAGGAGTTGTGCGATGAGTATGGATCACTGTCTATATGTCTCCCGTGGGCATAGCGTTGATAAGGGTAACGACGGGGTCCATGCATTTGTCGTAGACTTGACCACATGACGTCGAGCTGCTTGCCACACATGGCATGTTGCTCTCCCTTCGTCCACTCACAATACTGTGATGGTTACAACCCTGTGATTTGGCGGTCCGACGTGCGGATTTCCGGTTGGAGTTCAGTCTTTCGGTCGAATCCCGCATTCAGGGTGTTCACCATACCTCTCGGAGGGAGTGGGATGCGTCTAGTCGACAACATTGCGTTGAGTTGATATGAGACATCAAGCGAATAGTTTTACTTGCCATAAGCTTCGATAATCATGTACACCAAACGAGTCTAGCTAAGTAAAGCATCGGTATGTTTGGGGTCATGTTTAAACAGTTTCTACCACCTCCTGTTGGAGAGTACGTTGCGTGCAAACCATTGCTGTTTACTGGAAACATAATCTTATTTACCCAAGCAATGCTCATTAACAACGCTACTCATTTTCCTTTAGACGAGAAATGAGTGTAACGATTATCATGGCGCAGCAGCAGAATACTGGAACACTAATTGCCTTCTATTATAAGGCGGTTGACTCCTTTCGCCAAGTGCTCTACTCGTCCGAGACCAACCTCTCCGTCTGCTGTCGCCAACGATCGCAGTTTCACCTTGGTCGGTGAGCAAGTCATAAACAATATTGATAACAGGCTCACCTCAAGAAGTCGATTCAATCGTTCAAATAATTGCTTCTGATGGACTCTCCGGTCAAAGGAGTCCTGGACATCCTTTTCCTGCACCTTCAAAGCCTGGCAGGTCTGAGAGCCACAGCGTGAAGGAATCCCGTCCCAACGCGCTCAACTTTACTCGCTCAACTTCGCCAATCTTCGCCGCATAGACAGAACTGAGCGTCGGATGATCTTTGGAGAACTGCATGGAGCCATCGAGGCACTGCTGTTCTCGTTCCCCTCGTTCCATCAAACTTTCGGTCCTGCATCCGACGCGAGCTTAAAAGCCGCCTACAAGGTGTATCGGTTTACGCTATGATTTTCAACTCGATCTCCGCTGCCCGACTTCGCAAAGATTCGGTCTCTTCCAGCAATCTCTCCGTCACGCTCTTACGCTCCTTTACTTCTCTGCTGAGGTCTGTCTCAATAGCCTCATACCTGCTCAAGGTCGACCAGAAGAGCACCAGCGGTGTCCTAGACTACTTTGTTTTCTTCGTGAGGTAAATCGCCTCGGCTTCCGCCAGTCGTTCTCTGGTAGTCCTGAGTACCTGTAAAAGCGCATACCGAAATGCCCATCCACGCTGCCCTGCCTTAATGCGAGGCGCCAACTCGTTCTTCTTTTCTCGGAGCAACAAGTTGATTTTCGTCACCACCTCCGACAGCTCCTCCATTTGAGATCCCTTCTTGGCATCAGCAGCTGACTTCGCCTCCGAGGCCTGCTACATTCTATGCAACAGGATGCATAACGACTATAGTCCGTAAACTAGTATAGACCTTCTGAAATCACAGTCCCAGGTATCAACATGGTGTACCTCCATCAGACGCGACTCCAGCTCGTCGTGACCAACCACACCGTACTCCTCCTCGACTGCTCGTAGTCTCCTCTTGGAATCTTCCAACCTGGTGAAATATCCAACGCCACCACACCGTAGAGAACACACTTCTCCTTCAACAACTGTTCAGTCCTCTTCAATATGGACCCCTCGGATCTCAGCCTTTGCATTTCGCTTTTTGCCGACTTGAACTTCTTCGTTTTCTCTCTCAGTGTGACAGCATATTCTTTGAAGTCTTCCCGTCGGAGGTAACTACACTCTACTTCTTTCCATACACTCGCTGTCGTACCGATGCCCCATCTGCTGTTCGTATTTCGACTCCAACTTCTCCAACTCGAGCGCTGCAGCATTCCTCTCTATCTCCATGGCCTCCACCTTCGTCGATAACGCCTCATGCTTCTTAGCCACGAGCTGGGCCTGCTGCCTATAAACCTACAACAACAACCGCCACCCAAGGTCTCCGACACTAACCACGACCGACCTGCAGCCCTCCACCTTTGTTCTCTACTGAGGCTTGTGCCTAGCATAAGAGAGCTTTAGTACTCGTGAACCGCCGAGAGTTACTACTTGTAACTGACTTTTGAGGCTGCTCTCCATCGACTCAACCTCTTCCTGTAGGCTCTCCAACTTCTCTTCCATATCCAACAGCGTCGCGTCATCAATCTGACCAGACCAAGTCCGAACACTTCACTGCTCTACATTATGCCCACACTAGGGACGCTCAGTTGTTTCTCAGCACTTTCCAGTTCTTCACACAGTGCATCATGGGCCGCTTTCATCCGTTCTAGTTGAACCCCAGCGTTGTGCACGTCCTTGCGTATGACCTGGCCAACACCTCGACGATATGCTAACATTATACGTGCCTCCAGCATCCTCCCTGGCTCCTCCTCAGCCTCCGCCCGCGCCTGGCGCATTTCCTGGAGCCTCTGCACAGCCCCTCGATGCAACCTTTCGACTTCCTCAAGCTGTCTCCGTTGCTTCCTGTACGTGTCAGCCAACTGCGCCTGAGCGATAGTTCCCATCTCCACTCCAACGAATGCGCCATCCAGTAACCTCTTCTTCCTGCTCATGCCGCAGTCTAGAAGTGACATCAAAAATTGCGTTGAATTCAGCATCACCAGTGGTACGATGTTTTAGCGCTGAGACCAAATACTGCTCATACACGTACAGCAAGAGCATACCCTTTATCTTAACAATAAGCTGGTCCTTCTCTACACTCAGTTGCTGAATATCACGTTTCAATTCTTCCGGCATCGCAGACGTCTCCCGTTGGTGTTGCAGGGCCGAATGGGTAGCCTAGCAAGACAACGCTATGGAATACTCCCAAAACCTGCTGCCAGGCTCGCCTTGAACGTAGACTGGAGCTCCTTATACTTCGAATACATATCTGCGATGTTATAGTCCTGCAGGAAGTCCTGAGGGACTTCGAAATTGGTTAGAAATCTGAGCCCCGAGAGCAAGCACGCGACTTATCAGCTCTTCTACCTAGCTAAGTATGCCCTCTCCTTGAGGGCAGTCAGATTGACCAATAGCCAGTACAAAAGAGGATGAAGTACTCTCTTGTCGCCGTTCATGAATCCTTCTTTAGACGCTCTAACTCACCACCATCACAGGAGCGTCGATGACGAGAACCGAGGCAGTACATGGCGCTATCGTCAGGATAGCCTAGCACGGTGATGAAGTCAACCATGCGCTTGTAGGTATCTTCCATACGCTCATTATCTATATCGACCTGACCAACGATCATGCAGAGGCTCAAAGAGACAGCCTTGTTTTCAAGAGGGATGATCTCGTGGTGGTGTCTACATTGTGTCTCGGATCGAGCACTGCAAGGACCTTGTTCACTACTGACAGGAGGGTCGACCTACACATGTAACTTGTCACGCTATGGGGGCTGTCGTATTACGCTGGCAGCTCATCGAATTGCACTAAGGATAGATTAATGTATAGAGGAGGAGCATTGAGTCTATCAACGATCTCTCGCAGTCCTGCCGCTATAGACATGCCAGATGTATACCTCCAAGTAGTGCTCTGTGAATGCTGTTGACAACGCAAGAGTAGTGAGATATGAAAAGTTGTCATAGTCGCTACGACGACATAAAACAATGCTCGTGCTCTGCTACTTCCTCGGTTCGTACATGATAAGAGAGCCTCGAAGAGAACGGGATTTTTCTTAACCCCAACATTTGGTGGCGAGCAAAACCGGGCGAGAATTACCAGGAAGGGGAAGTGAGACCGGAGCAAAAAGGTGACTGGTACGAATGAGAATTGGAGAATATATGGTAATATTAGAGGGTAAATTATGTGGGGTCGTCGAACTACTACTCAGCAACGAGTGTTGCTGTGAAAATGGTATTACGAATACCTGCATCGCGACAAAAACACTGACAGCGATGGTAACTAGAACTACAGCCTGTAGCAATAAGATATGACAACTAAAGACAATAAGGACCGACGAAAAGTCAGCCTACGTTCGATCACTGCTAGAACTTTGCTAGCTAAAAGCGCGCCGACGCCATGTTGGAGTTATGAATGAAATTGTACAGCTGGTAACAAAAACGGCTACCGATGAGATAAGCTTCTCTGAAGCGATAATGCTCCACTGGCGCTGATGATGATGATATCCCACATACGTCAGGTATTTGAAGAATAGTATTCCACAGCAACGAGGACCCCATCGATCTCATGGGGTAGCTCAAATACGGCCTTAGGAACCTCATGTTCGAAGACACAGAAGCCAAACCTTCTGCTCTTACCAGAGGTTCGATCCATCACCACTGGAGCCTCTCTGACGGCACCAAACTTAGAAAAATGCGCGCGGAGGGTACTACTAGTAGTATAACGTCCCAAACCACCGATAAATATTTTATGACTATCCTCTACCCAATAGAACGCCGAGCCATGGGTCTTCCTAGAACCATGTGCTTTGCTCATCTCCTCCTGCGCCATACGAGATCGGATCAACTCCTCGACATGGGGGTCAGGTTTAGGGAAGGGGACCCACCGTCCCTGTGCATCGGCAATTAACGGCCTATGCTTCTCCGGAATTGGGGAATTCCTATAGTGCTCAACATTCTTGTTGAAGCCTTGCACGAGTGCCCAACAAACTCGGCAGATCTTGTGCGAGTTTAGGGCTGGCAGTCTGTAGTTGGTGAATGTTCGCTTGAAATCGAGGGCCCTAGAATGTTGACGAAAGTTTAGAAAAGCATAGCCGACATTGCATTTGTTCCTGATATCGATTGGCAAATAGAGGAAGTCAAAAGTGTTTTCAAAACCCATAAGGTAAATCTGTTCGATCAACGATTGTGTGTCGAACCGATTGGGTATATTCCTCAGCATCACAGTCGTATTGTTGACATCATCATCACCCTCCTCCTCCTCTAGAGGACACACCTCCTCCCTCTGACCAGCTGGACGACCCATCGACCCACCCATCTGGTCCCTACCATAGTCCGGGGTGGACAAGAGACCCGAAGGGCTGCTAGCTGCACCAATGAAGTATGGGCTCGATACGCAGCTACCATTCTCAATAGAAGCAGCGAAATTGCCATATGCATGAGAGCCACCACCAATGCCATTTCGCTGTTGATGCATCTCATTGGATTCCGCAATAGCGAGGAGAGCGTTGGTCAAAAGCTGATTTTGCGATCTCAATGAGCCAGCATCCTGCCCTGAGTCTCCAGCCTGCGCAGCACTCAAAATAGAGGTTACATCAGAGTCTGTGGTGCTCTCTAAACCCAATACCGCCGATATCGTAGAGGCCAAGTCCTGGGAGTCGGAACTGCAGTGATCAGAGCGAGTACTGTGTGCACCCACGACAGTGTTGTCATTGACGTGCCTGCTTTCCTCAAGCACAGAGTGGACGAAAGGCGGCCAGGACAGGCCAATCAAAGGCACTGCTGCTTTATGACCAGGGAGTTGCGAATCGATAGCATGCCTAGCCGATGGGAATACGTCCGGTGCAGTCTGACCTCGAATGAGTTCGGGCATTGCCAAATCATCGAGACCACCGGCACTGGGCTCATCTACGTTCAAGAAGGAGTTCTTCATAGTGACTCGCAGATTCATATCAGAAAAAATATCATCATAGTAACCACCAAAAGTCGAAACAGAATCCCCAATATCAAAAAGACTGCTGTGAGTATCCGAGTGCAGTGAAAAATCGAGTCCAATCCCCCTCCCATCTGCAGATGCTGTTGACACTTCTGCCAGCGTATCGCCCTTCGAGCCTTCACCGGGATCAATGGTCAATTGGTCGACGGAGCGGTGCACTGCTTCATCGGACAATCCACTAGGTACATAGGGGTGACTCATACACGGCGTATGTGACAGGGAAGCCATTGTACAAACATACGCTGGTCGTCACGAATCACATTAGCGCTCGCCCACCCGATCGATTCGCGTCGCCACTGAACGACAAGTTCAGAACACTGCTGGAATCAAAACTTCTCATTGAAACACCGATCTAACACTTGGGCTTTCGATTCTCCTATACCGTAAATCTGCAACATTTCCGCCTTCGATGCTGATACGATTCCAGCGAAAGTCCTGCAAGGAAGAACCATGTAATGACGGCTCAGCAGCTCTTCACAATTGTCATGATACCCGAAGCGTTTGTAGAGATTCTTAACGTCAGTCTTTGTCGCAGAGCCACGAACGACAGTCAGAGCCTCAGTGGCTCGACCCTCTATGTTGTCGGCGGCCACGCGATGGATACCTCTGATGATGGATGCCTCCTTGCCTACACACCACAGAGTTCGTGACACGATACTACAATGAAGGCAGACCTTGATATTTATACAGAGTTTGGATGTAACGCGAGACCTCAACACTGGACCATGCAAGGAGGAGGGAGAGTCCAGTGTTTACGGCTATGAGATTGAGAGACTCTAGACACTCTCCAGCCTCTGCAGCAGGTATATCAACCTGAATAAAACACCATCAGATGATAATAGAAATCAGTGACATTATTACCAAACACAAGAGCACGTTCACATGGTACGGGGGCTTCACTTTACCCAATTCGCGAATCCGTCTAGGAAGCTCATCTCGCTTCCGTCTGTAAGTTCCCAAACTGAATAGTAGTCCTCCATGATGACGTGAACACTGTGACCTACGTGGTATAGAGTATCGCCGTGTTGTTTTCTACCGCAAAGTCCGGCACCAGAGCTTCATCGAAAAATGCTGCTGCGTTGACCAAGTGGTTGACGGCGGGATCATCTGTGACACAGAGCAATAGATTAGCACTGCTGTCACCAACAGCCTACCCTTAATTCTCGGATTCGCCCTCAGGCGTGACATAACCTTAATGCGAGGGGAAGAGGAAGGACACAAGAATCCACTACGAGACGCCCTTTCACTCAGTCGCATACACAACAGCATGATAGAAGACAGGATGATACTATTCATTAACGGTCTTGTGCAGAGTCGGGGCGATGGGACATTGGGGTTGTCGTTGAAGACGTAGCTCCTCTTGGTAGACATACTCTTCCGACCTCCTCCATCATCCTCCTATAATCAATCGCCATTTGCAAGGCCTCATTAGCACCATATTGCTTCACTGAGAACGTTCTGCTGTTTTCTCGTCCTGAGGGCGATGCTCATCACATGTCTATGCAGCCGACCGTACCCTTGGGCTCCTCTCGCCATCTCGCAACCCACATCTGATAAGTCTCATTGAAGGTAACGCCAGGCACGCCACTTCTCATCTTAGCACCAGGCACGTGATGTGGTATCACCGCCGGCTCCGAGGTCTGCTCCTCAGCCACTGGTACAGCGCTGGGTATCCAGGCCTCTGTACTCGGTGGCAGAGCCTCCAGTGGGGGAGTACCCCGCTCCGACGGTCGACCCATATGCGACGAGACAAAGCCCAGATCTTCGAGGAGCTGACGAGGGCAGCATCACACGAGGACCCATTGTCGATCCCAGTACCTTCCTCAACCTGATAGCGAGCCTGAATGCCCCGTCATCACCATATTTGGACAAGGCGAAGCTCTTGCTCCGTTGCTGCCCTTCAGCTTCCCGCCAACGTGTCGCCCATGTACGGCTAAGTGGATTCCAGGTCACTCCCTGTATCTGTATGAGGTGCTCAAGATACTAATACACCGTAAAAAGCGGCCCTACCCCACTGGGCCGATCCGAGCTCGCATGATCTCCCGAGGGTAGTGGAGGCAATACTGCCTTGGCTACCTCTCGCTCTGCCTCGGGTGTCAGGGGATGTGATCCCAACTACAACGGGCACATCATCATAAGCACAAGTGCAGCTGAGCAGTACCGTGCCGAGGTCACACAGGGCCAGGCAGTCCTCCACAGTCGCCAGATGATCTGGCGGGCCTGGCTGACCGAGAACAGGGTCGCTGGCCAGCTGAGCCAACGCTGATATTGTCTCGTCTGAACGCGGGGGAACATGACAGTATTGGAAGCAACTAGGGGTTACAGAGCTGTCCGTCATCCCGACTCCTCTTAGCGACAGGCTCCTCGTCATCTTCCGATCCCTCAGAAGGGGGCGTCATAGAGGCCTCCTCGACGATGGATGATGAATGGTCCGTGGCTCGAACATGCATTGTCCTTCTGGTGGCTGCAGAGGCAATGAATAGTACTACCACTCCACGGTCATCGCCACTCACCGACTGCCATCTGTAGCGCTTTAGCATCACCATGGCGCTTAGATGAGAAGCCCTTCGAATGTTCTTTCTTATCTTCACCCGTCCATCGTGCAACCCAGCGGCCTACCACACCACTGGTTACACTCGTCGTGTGAGAATGGTCACCTGTCTGAGGATGCCAGCTGACCCCAGGGATTCCGCTGGATCGTCGGCTCCCACGTCCACGAGACGATAGCTGTTGAGTAGCTGCCGCCAGAGCCTTCATAGGTGAAATCGCAGCAGTGTCGAAGTCGATGGTCGCTGCAACAGCAGCAGCTGCAGCTGCTGCTCCAGACACAGAGTCATCCGCATGCGAACCGGGCGGCAGAAGATCCGATACGCCACCCTGATCCATAGTATCCACACACTAGGTCGAGGACGGCATAGCCTTACAGCTCCCCCTTCAATGGGAGGTACATTGCCAGTTCCAACAGAGGGTTCCGCTGGGATGGTATGAGCGTGGACCACAGCGAGATCGCCCCGATCGTCCTGAATTTCCTCCAGCCGCCTCCACTCCTCATCGAGGATATCCCTCTCACGAGCCAAGGCTGATATGGTCACTGAGACATACAACTATGCTGGCATGAACAGCCCCCCCCGCGGTCATCACTTTGCAGTACAGAGATTGCCTTATCGACTAGCACTGCAATCTCCGTCCGATGGTTCGGCAGTGGCGGTCGTTGCGGCCTCATGATAAAAAATGCACGGTCTGCAATGGGCGTTCCAGTGGTAGTACTATGGGACTCAACGACAGCGGTGATACCGGGCCCAGGAAACGCAATAAATGGGGAAGATGAGAGGAGCAAACCAGAGGGCAGTATGACTCCTCGTACACATCTATCATGAATCTGCGAGATAACACTCTCGACCGTTGCCACGGATTTCCTATGCCGCCAAGCCTACAGGGACTTAACACTCAGGAACGATTTTTCACGAAATCCCAGCTCCTGGTCATCGGCACTCTGCGTGTTGTTGGAGCCTGAACGAACTGAACTCAACATCACCATGAATACAATGTCTCGATGAACCCACGATAGGTCCTTGTTACCCTTCACAAGTAGCCACGGACCACAACGTGATACCCGGCAAGTGAGCCAATGAGAGCTATCTAAGTGGTAGAAGCCCTTCGACTGGCGTCTGCCAAGGGTACCCGGCTTGATCAGCCTACCTGATGTAAGGCTGTCCGAGACCTGTCATGAAGCGGATAAGATAAGCAATCGTCTCAGATTACTAAAGATTTTCATTAATCATGCCTCGGTCCTAGCACCGGGTGCAGATTCGCCTTTTATCATCATAGACAACCACATCACCAGATTACCGAAGACTTCACTAACTCTCTCCTGTGGCTGAATAATGTCTCACCCTGAGCTCAGCAGCAGTGGAGGTGTTCGACAGACCTCTCCTCAGTTTCAACAGCGCTCCCGG